GCTGGGTTAAATTTACACCTCCCGCTTCGTCCAGCCAGGTCTCTGTGATGCACGCCAGATCTGCCCGTTCATTCAGAATTAGATCCTGGATGAAAGTTGTTTTACCGTTGACAGATCTGGCGTTCAACAGCACCACTTTCAATTCGGAGGGACCGCCATCTTGGTTACACCGACTTACCATATCAGGAGACCGATTTGGAATTACTAATGTTGTTCCACGTTCCCTAGGCCGAATTAAAGGTCTCTTTTTCCCGTATCTCCCCTTCCCCACCACGACTTCTATGGGGGCTCCCCGGTTAACGGAACCCTCTCCCTCCTCCATGATGCATACGGTGGCCCTAGCATCAATCCATAGCTCCTTTGCCACTCCTGTAATGTTATAATCTGATCTTTCAGGTCTGCTCCATTCCTTCTCTCTATCATAAACAATTAGCAACAAGAACAACAGGTGCCAGGGAATGGGTCGTGACATAGGTGATAGCTATTGAATCAGCTTTAAAGTGCAACAGCTTTAGCAATCAGCTCTAAGGTGCTAAATAAAGTGCATCATGGAGGACTTGAAAAGTTCAATGCTAGATGGTTAGTTGAACAATTAAAGTGCTGAACTCAGTGGATAGCGATCTAATTGCCACAAGGATATTGTTGTAGTTTCCTAGAGAAGAAGAGCTAGTGTAGTAGGAAATAGAAGATCTTTTCCTTACACAGTTAAGAAAGGGCAGTTTGCCTAGAGGAAGCTTATTTGAGGTTTGCTTGTGATTTAGGGAACAGCAGGGCTTACCTAAACCCTGGATATCAGAGGATTGTGTGATAAATAGGGTTTGAAAAAGGTTAGGGAGATCCATGTGGAAGAGAGTAGTGTGTGCAGACTTGCAAGATACTCCTGATCTTCTCTCCATGTTACATCTGCCTCTCTGTCCCCTCCCTTCTCTTAAAAAAATATTGGAAAATATCAAAGGAATCCCTTTCAGGCTACAAGTCGTAAGCCATCTGCTAAATATCTAGAGTTGAAAAGAAATGTTGCTTTCTGGGCAATGTATTCTGTAGTTGCCCTGTGGGGTTTCTTATACTTCCTTTTGAAGCATCTGGTTTTGGTATCTGTTGGAGAGTAGTGCTGAACCAAAGGGACCTTGGGTTTGAAGAAATACAGCACATAGTATGTTCCAAAAATGCAGTTAGTCAGCTGATGGTAATAAGGAGAGAAATTCCTACTATAAAATGCACAGACAAACATCCTTTAAAAATTAATCAGTGTACTCTTTTCTTTCACACAGAAAAACCTCCTAATAAAAGCAGCATGAGGATAGTAGTAGATTCTGAGTCCCGGAAAAGAACTATTGGTTCAGGTGATGGAGTCCCAGTAAAGAAGAACTGGTTTGACAAGTGAGTAGTTGCTCGATCTGTTAGCCATATATTAATGCCTGGAATATGCATTGTATTTCAGATTTGCCTCTCTTTTTATGCCTTTGTCTCTACATGATACACAATTTTGGTTTAAAACAAGGTTGGAGAATGTGCATCCCGGGAGCTGCATTGCAGCCCTGAAACCATTTGGTTTGGCCCTTGGTCTCCCATCTAAATACTAACCAAATACTGACTTAGATCTGCAGACTCAGACTTGGTTGTGTAAATATTTTAAAGGCCAATATTTTTAATTTATTTTTATTGCATTGCAATGTATTTTTTTTTACTGCTGTTGACCTGTTTATGTTAATTGTTGTGCTTTAATGACTGCCAATTATAAGACACCCTGAGTCCCCCTTCGGGGGTTGAGGAGGACAGGATACAAATGCTTTAAATTAGATCTGGTGCCTTTAACAATCCTTGTGGAAACTGGATTTAAATATAAATATTTAATAAATATTTATGAAATTATAGTACACAGAAAAGATGTCAGGAGTTGATAATACAAAAGTTGGCCATGTTCCAAATCTAAGGTGCGGTGTTAGAGTAGCCATTAAAGCAAAATTGACCCAAGACCTTGCAGCCATGGCTATTGTGGGTGAGGGATAACCTTTGGTGACCTCCCTGGGTAGATACCAGGGTTAACTGCCTGGTGTATATGCCTGCTGAGGCAGGACACGGGGAAGAGCAGGGCCAGAGGTTTTATAAACCCTGCCTGCATTCCTCTGTCCCTTTTTTTGCTCTCTGAGGCTGGATCAGCAGGAGTGCTGCATTGCTCCACAAGATCCCTGGCCATGATTTGAGTGCAACCTTTTTACTGTGGTTGCAGGATTGGCACAGGGATGAAGGTGGGCTGTTGAACTGGCAGCACTGCAGGAGGTGGGAGACAGGTTGCTTTTCCTAAGCCTTTCCCTGCTTGTTCCCACTTGTTCTATGTCCCAGTGGATAATAAGGTTCTAATTACTATGCCTTTGCCTCCCAGGAATTTATCTTACAATTTGGGGTGTTTCTGCCCATGGCGATTTTGTCATGAATTTCCCAGCAGGGAATAATGTCTTGAGGGTTGGTGTGGTCACACTAAGCAGAGTTTATCTCCTCACTCAGCCTTAGGGCCTCCTGGGTTACCTTGAGCAAGTTACACACAATCTCAAGGAGGCTTGCCCACCCTCTTTTAAAAATAAATCCTTAATAAATTGTTACCTTGGATGAGCCACGCTCTCATGGCCTCAAGTCACAATTACTATACAGCAGAGGAAGTTGCAGACAATCCCCCCTTTAAAATAAATTCCTAATCAATAGTTGCCTTGAATGTATCATGCTCTCTCGGCCTCAGAGGAAACTCTAGGCAATCTTGCATATCAATTTTGTCATCATCTCCTCCTCTTTTCAAAATATATTGATTGCTTCCTTGACTGGTGTGCAAGTCCAGGCCAGGGTGGGCCAGGGTTGGGGAGTGTCTTCCCTGCGGTCCATATAAAGCACACAAAATTATTCAGTCTGGGCCAGGGTGGGGCATGACTTTTTCCCCAGTCCTCCCACTTAACTGGCTGCTGTTGCTCCTCCAAGCCGCCTTCTTTAGGCCGGCTTACTATTTACTCCCGAGCTGCTTCCAAATTCCTCTCCTCACACAGGTGTGTTCAGCTTCTTCCGCCCTTGTTTTTGCCAGCAGAGTCAAAGCCAGTAAGTGTGTGCATGCAAATACAGTTGCCTGTGTTGCGCAGCCTTTGGAACTTTCATTCAATTTTTATTATATAATTTTCTATTTGTAATAATATATAATGTAATTTTATAATAAATAAAGGTATGGCCATTTATTTATAATAATTAAAGGTAAAGTCATTCCAAATGGGGGAGGGGGTTAGTGCCACAAAGAAGACCAGTATCCTGTTGGAGTGGAACTTCCCTCTGGCATAGTTACTTGGCATCAGTATGAATGCTGCTACAGCTGGAAGCCAAAACTGTAAATTTATTTTATGCATTTCTTTCATTTACATAGCCCCTTTATTTCAGAGTGGAACCCAAGATGACAAAAAATAACCCTAAAACAGTAAAAAAAATTAACACAATTAAAATTACAATATTAAAGCATTAGATGTAAAATCAAGCATCCTCCCTCTCAGAATCCTCCCTGTAAGTAACTACACATTGAAAAGTCTTATCTTGGCAGGCAAAGTAAAACAAAAGGGACCAGCCTAGCCTCCTGTGGAAAGGAATTTCAGCATGATGTATGATGGTGATGGTGATGATTATAATGAAATAATAGTAATAATAATAATAATAATAATAATAAATGTTATTTGTTACTCGCCTATCTGCACTGCTCAAAGGTGTGTACAATACAGTCAAAACACGTTTACCAAACTACAAAATACAATGATTAAAGATTAATACATGAATCAATTAGAATGCAAATTTAAAATTCACAGTTCAAAATTGAATGGGTAGGCCTTTCAGAAGACTAGGTCTTTACTTGCGTCTTAAATTTTTACAGTACGTTTAGCTGTTGGAGCTCTTCTGACAGGTAATTCCACAGTCTCAGGGGAGCTAATGACAATGTTTTCTGACTGATGGTTGCCTGCCGGGTTCTGGTTGGTTGGAGCAAACACCCTTCCTAGAGGACGTAAGTGTCCCAAGGGGCTGATTATACCAGAGAGGGCAGTCCTGTAGATAACCTGGACCCAAGCTAAACAGTGATGATTTTATATCCCACTTTTCTTTCAATAATGGAGTCTCGAGTTGCATGTAGAGATCTTGTAGAAATGTAGAGAACTTCTGTCCCTCTGGCAGTTCATTTGAATGTATTATGTTGGTGTCCTGGCTGTTGATCCAGTTAAGTAGCCATTTGAGCTATAAGTATCAAAACAATATTTAACGTTGTCGGTTTCAGGCCAAACTTTAACAGAACGAACAGCCCGGCTTTTCAGAAGAAGGTGCAGTTTGGAAATGAAAATACCAAACTTGAACTGAGGAAAGTTCCTCCAGAGCTGAACAATATCAGCAAACTAAACGAACACTTCAGCAAATTTGGAAATTTGGTGAATTTGCAGGTAAAGTGGTAACTTGACTATTTTATTGTAGTATTAGAAGTGGTTACCAGTTATTTATTTATCATGTCAGAAGCGAAATTGAGGGTACAGTTGTAATGTATGTAAAAACACAAACAAAGTTTAAAAATTTGGCATTATACTAAATGTCCTTTGACCAGTAGCTGGCCACTTGGAGTGTCTCTGGTGTTGCTATAAGAAGTTCCTCCATTGTGCATGTGGGAGGGCTCAGTCTGCACTGTAATAGGTTGTCTGTGGTTTGCTCTTTTCCACACTTGCATGTTGTGGACTCCATTTAGAACTAGTTAGAACTTGGATTATGAGGAAGACTTCATTATCAGGAAGTTTTAGAAATTCTGTGATTTTCATTTCAGTTTTAGTGTAAAACCAAATGTAAAATGTATATAGTTTCTGCATTCACTCTTGTTTTATTACCACCAGAGAACCAAATTAGCCCCTTTCTTCTTCCCTTAGCCCTCTTGATTTAGTCTCTTCCTTTTGTGGGTCACCACACCTCAAGTGAGACTGTGTTTAGGTGATAGAGTGTCAGTCTCTTGGGATGGTGCCTGTCTCAATTTTGTGTATATAGCACACTTGTTAGATCAGATTGGATTTTATGATACAATTTGTTTTACTAGTTTTATTTGTTACAATTGTAGGTTGCCTACCAGGGAGATCCAGAAGGTGCTCTCATCCAGTTTGCTACCCATGAAGAGGCAAAGAAAGCTATTTCAAGCACAGAAGCCGTATTGAATAATCGTTTCATTAAGGTGTACTGGCACAGAGAAGGCAGTGTTCCACCCATGCCAGCTTCAGTACAGAAGGTAATGCCAGGGAACGGGGTATAGTTTATTTTGATAGCCTGGTTAGACTTTAAAAGTCTTCCGGGTTGTTTTGGATGTTAAATACAGCATTTAGATTTGTTACATCTCTATTACTGGAGTCTCATAATACACACGACTAGAAGAATTACCATATTAAAAAGTTCAAATACTGACATGTTATCCTTTTGCTTTAAATATATGGAAGTTAAATTCATTATTTCACATTTTGGAATACAGTTGGCCCCCAATTCTTGCAGGATTTAGGTATACAAGAACCCCACAAAAGTGGAAAAACTGCTCTATCTTAAGCCCCCATCCCCATATACTGTTACTAATTTATTTCCTGCCAATAAGCCCAGTCTGTACCTTTCTTTCCTGACATGGTGCCATGACTTGGTGCTGTGAGAAATACTCTAAATAAAGGAAAACAAATTATGTTTTGTTCAAGGTCAAGGTTGTAATCCTTAATAATGATGTATTTAAAAATAAGTTTTATTGAAATAAGTGACAAATACTTATTTGTGATAAATACTCCTGGTTAGCAGGAGGCTTTACATTCTTTATAAATACAAATGCACCAGTGTATGTATCAGATAATATAGTGAGTGAAAGAAAAAAGAATACAACCCTGGAAGCTTTCTTCTTTATACCAAAAAATGTTCCCATACCTTCAAGGGAGTTGTGGGGAACGTACATTCCAGGGAATGTTTCATACTGATGTCAATGAAGGTTTGCAAGAAATTGAAATTGCAAAGGAAGAAAGGAAATATTTTATGAGAGCAGAAAATAACTTAAAATAATTTGTATGCCTTCTTTTAAAAACCGCACAGTATCCAAACTATGCCTGGCACCTTCTATCATTGAAATATCTACTTGAGCTGGCTACGACAATAAATTTATTATAAATATTATGTATTTTGACTTCCCTTAAGAATCTGTAAATTAAATATTTTATAAGTGTTGGTGGCAAAATATAGCAGTAGGAGATACATATTTGATATTTTTCATGAAGATTTAATATACAACTGTGTCAGAGTTCCCTTAGTAACCAATTTACCATAACTGTATGATAATAACCTGGTCATGACATCACTTTATGTCACTGAAGCAGGTATCTCTTGAGCCTCAGCAACAAGATTCCTTGTAGCATGATACTGAAAAGAATTTTGCTTTAATTCTGACATCTGAACTCTGAGAACTTTACTTGGTCTGCCATTAGTAAAAACAAACTAGGAACAGAGTGTTGGAGCTGATTTTTTTTTCAGTTAGAAAGTTTGACCTTTTTTGATTTGGCTTCTGGTATTGTAACTTTATAAATTGTTTTACTGATGTTTAAGTGTTTCTACTTTGCTGAAATACGTTATGTGGATCCTGAGTTTAGAGAGTATGGTAAGAATAGGAATGTTCGTACTTGAATGTTTAACCATTATTCAGTCTTCCATGTCCTATTCTGATGACCTGGTTTCCTTTTAAGGTTATACAGCCTTTACCCCAGCAGCCCATTTTACCTGTTATAAAGCAGTCTGTCAAAGAGCGATTGGGTCCAGTGCCTGTCAGTAACATGGAACCTGCTGAAGCTCAGAGTGCAGGTGCAGAAGCTGTTCAGGTAGGTATAACATTTATGCTACAAACGTGATTTTTAAAGTGAACTTCAGTATGCTATTTAAACTAGGAATCCCTCAGTCTTAAGTGGGTGACCTATATTTATTAAGATATTTTTATTTAAAAAATCTGGAAAGGAAATTTGAATTTATTATTCATATTATAGTAGTAAGGATTGTTTAAAATTGTGCAGCCAAGTTGTGTGTGAGTAAATAGCTTTCACACTTGAAATAGAACTTAATAAAACTGATGTCTCAGAATAACCAGACTTTTTAATGCTCATATATTGACTTGGTAATAGTGTTGTTATTTATTAGGAATTTCCTTTTCCCATGCTAGTTGAATAATGTGAAAATTCATGGGACATGGTATTAGTGCATGTTATATTAGTATTGCAAAATACAAGCTATTTCATGAGGAAAATATATAATTTACATTTAACAATGCTGTAATTGTGTGAGGAAATTTTTTAATAATCTGAGTATCACATGTGAGTTACTAGGGAGAGTATCCAGTACTTTTGACATATCTTGTGGACAAGTAGAATCCAGTGAAATCAGGAAAATAGCAATCTCCATTTTCCATCGCAGTGTCCTCTCAGCTCTGGAGAACTGGGATATATCATTAATCAGCTCAAGGGACTATAAAGCACTGCTTCTTAAACTATGGTCCCTGACCCCAAATAGGGAACCATGAGAGAAAATGGTGTTGCTTCCCCCATTGGTTAAACACATCCTAGTCTGGAGTCAGGACATCATTGCTCTTTTTGGATTCCTGTTCATCTTACACACCATCAGGTCCTTCTCTGAACTCTTGGACTTCTTGTTTAGATGCTCACAACTATATTACTGCATGGCTTCCTAAGCTTGTATGTCTGTCTGATTCCAAGACTTTGCAAAGCTACTTGGCCTTCAGTGTTGTTGTTCATTCATTCAGTTGTTTCCAACTCTTTGTGACCTCATGGACCAGTCCATGCCAGAGCTCCCCGTCGGCTGTCACCGCCCCAGCTCCTTCAAGGTCAATCCAGCCACTTCAAGGATGCCATCCATCCATCTTGCCTTGGTTGGCCCCTCTTCCTTTTTCCTTCTATTTTCCCCAGAATAATTGTCTTCTCTAAGCTTTCCTGTCTTCTCATGATGTGGCCAAAGTACTTCATCTTGGCCTTCAATAAACCAAACCAAATTAACATTGTTAAGTGTTCGGTGCCCCTGGTGGCACAGTGGGTTAAACCCTTGTGCCAGCAGGACTGCTTACCAACAGGTCAGCAGTTCGAATCTAGGGAGAGCAGGTTGAGCTCACTGTCAGCTCCAGCTCCTCATACAGGGACATGAGAGAAGCCTCCCATTAGGATGGTAAAACATCAAACATCCAGGCATCCCCTTGGCAGCATCCCTACAAATGGCCAGTTCTCTCATGCCAAGAGCAACTTGGAGTTTCTCAAGTTGCTCTTGGCATGAAAAAAAAGTTAGTTGTTGAACTTCTTAGTCTTTAAGGTGCCACAATTACTACTACTACTACTACCACCACCACCACCATTATGATTATTATTATTTGCTACCAGAAGCTAACATGGTTGACCTTTGATAGAAATATCTACTCTCTCATTTTTATTATTACTGTCAGAATAGGCATTTGTCATCCTAGTAGTGAAACTCTACTTGGTCTCAATGTGCTTCAAATGCTACCTCGATGGCAAACTTGTAAATAATTATTTCTGTTTTTCCTAGAATGTAGCAAAACCCTCTGTGAAGGACAGGCTTGGGTTTGTGCCTAAACCACCTAATCCAACTACTGAAAAGGTAAGGCAATAACGCTGAGGGAACTATGATATAACTATTTTATAATTACAGTACCACAACTCTGCTTCTGCAGAGTTTTTTTTTTACATGTTGCAAACGCAAGATGGTTGCTTGCATTTATACCATCATTGATATAATTTTGAAATTGATTGGAAACATTTGAAATGCTAAATGATAAAATATGTGTTTGTGTAGGCATCTTTATGAAACCTAAACTGTTTCTGTTTGGATGGGCCTTTGTATGATTGGGTAGATTTTAGTAGTGTTAGATAGGATATTTGAATGCAGAATGGACCAAATTATGGCAAGATTAAAGATGGGCTGTTGTAGGCTGAAAGTGTTGGGGAGAGTATTTTTGCTCAGAATTCTGAAGTAGTCTGTGATATTGTAACATGCTGAAGTGTGCTGCCTCATTCCATAAAAACACAGAACAGTTAGCAGGCTGTACCCTTCACAGTAGTTTGTTTCTGATGTTGGCCCATTGTTGAAGGTAGACACTGACTTCCAATTTTCCTGCTCCTGCCTTTTGAATGTGAGCTTAGGTTCTTCTTCTTGATGAATCAGTATAAGTGCTTCAGAGTCACTTATATCCACATTTTAGTGCCAGAACTATTTGAAGGATTAGGTGTAGGGAGAATCAGTATAGCAAAAAAATTAGTATAGGGATATTTAAAAACTGGCAGATTTTGTAAATATTCAAAATAAGTTTTGGTGGCTCAGAATGCATTTCTCGTGGCAGTTATAGAATAAACCCCACTTTTCTAGTTTCCAACAAACATCACAGCTTTTGAGGATGCTTACCACAGATGTGGATGAAATGTCAGGAGATAATGCTTCTGGAACATGGCCATATAGCCCAGAAAACTCACAGCAACCCTGTGAGTTTTTACAATACTTTGTAAAATTGCTTAACAAACCACTAAAACATTTCTTCCCTCCAAAATAGAGTGCATATGTGAAACCATTTGGTTAACATCATTAAAACTCTTCCTATGTGGGATGAAACAAATTACAGATAGAGCTAAATTTGAATTATAAATCCTTTCAGTTGAATGAGACAAGCGTTTTCTGTTTTCTTTTCTTGGCTATCCATTGGGAATAGATTGTGATGGTGTGGGGTTTTGAAATAGGTTCTTTGATATTGCTATTAAGAAGAACCTTTCTTAAAATGTACCTGTGGGTCAGCCATCTCTTTTCTCATACTTTGTCCTTGTGATAGCCATCTTTGTCCTTGTGAGGTACATGGAATCTCCTGTTCTTTAGCAAGTCCAAGATGAATGGAAAAAGTGTTTCAAAAGAAAGGATTACAAGACAACCTTTGGATCACCCAATGAACTTGTTTTATTGTGTGCTAAAGAATTTCATGTTGATTTAAAAATATACATATACGTGTGTGTGCGTGTGTGTTCAGTGATCCAGTTAGGGCAGAACAAACTTCAATCCTGTTGAAATTAACACAGAGGGCAATCTACCCATTCCTATCCTACACTGAGCCGTGAAATGCAACCTTCTTGCCCCCATGCATGCTTCATCACAGACCTAAACATGTATGGAAGTCCTAAGCTTGGCTACCTTCCGAGGAACATTGAGCCTATATAACCGAGAAAGAACATCAGAAAACCTTTCTGATGACTTTGTCAACCTTTGCATTAGATACTGCAGTCCTTATTTAATAATTTTAAAGTATTTTAGCTTTATTAAATAAATAAATAAATAAATAAATAAATAAATAAATATTAGATCCTTATTATGTGGGTGCATGTCTGATTTGGATTGGTTTCATTCTTTATAACTATTTGAATATCTTATTTTATTGTCATAAGTTCTTATATTGTTTTGTTTATTGGTTTTAGTTTGGTTGTTTAGTGGTTACTGTTCACCTTTTGGCATTGAATGTTTTTCCATTTTTCTGTTGGAAATCACCCTGAGTCCCCTTGGGGAGATATGGTGAGGTACAATTTTTAAAAAAATTATTATTATTATTATTATTATTATTATTATTATTATTATTATTATTATTATAATATACTAAACCGAACAATTACTCCCCTAATGCTGGAGTTTTGTACATACCTGCAAAAAGTGGACCAGGTTCAAAGAATGGCATGATTTACTCTATGGACAGACACTTAAGGGAGCTTTGGACTCTTTTTAAAATGGCAGTTCTCTGTTTCATCCTTTGCTGAAACATAATTGTTTTAGAGCCGTTTGTGTATTGCGAGGGGGGGGGGATTGGATTTTATAGTCAGTACAGTAGGGGTTCATATTGTATATATTCTTATTTTAGTTGACCTCGTGTATATACGTCGAGGGAAGGTTTTGGAGTCAAAATTTTAAATTTTGATGTGACACATTGATAAGTTGAGGGTTAATGTTTGTAGCAGGAAAAGCACTAATGCCATCATTGGCAGCAGCCACCATTTTATCACCTAGGCATTCATGATAAGAAATAAGACTTTTTCTCAAGTTTACTTATGGATGAGGTGAACAACATTTTTGGGTTGATTTTTTGACTAAAATTTCTAGACTTATACACTATTCAATAGGAACTTTAAAGTTCTTCTCTCAAAATAAATACTTAGAAGAACATGAATATCTGCTAAGGTTATGTTTATTCATGAAAGATGTTATTCTTATGGACATACTTCCCTAGCTAAATGAATGTAGCAAAGTAGTGACTAGGAGCATACACATATTTATACACTGTCAGTCTTCCTGCTCTGCATCATCTCAGCTTGCAGGGATGAGGAGGTTTAAACTTCCCTTCCTTTTTCGGAGTGAGAGTTGCTGGCAGTAGGGAAGAAAAACATTTCCTGTTGCTTAGTAGTTGCTGCTAAGAGCTATTTCTCTACTGCTATTAGTGATAGAAAAGCAGCAAACTTGGAATATTGTTTTTCCTTGTATTGCACAAATGAGTATCTTATCTGTTCCAGAGTCTATGCTGCCAATGGGTCAGAGAAGCCACAAGTAGCACACCACTGATTTAACTGATTAACAGGTTGCAGGTTAGGAAAACTCCCCAAGTCAGTTTTACCAAGTGTGTTGGGGACTGTTTCCGACATCATGCAGTTTGGCATGTTCCTTCTAGCTAAGTGATGGCTTGGCTTTTTTTTTTTTTGAAAAGCTAGCATAATTCAATAATGATACATGCAGTGGCTGTTGAGTATTGTTGTGTCTTTCTGTAACCTTAGGTGGTGGTCCCTTGGACTGGTATTGATCTCTGAGGAATTATCTGCCGAGTGTCCCAGGTAGAAAGAAAAAACTGGTGCCTGTCCTTGGCGTAGTGGGGAGAAAAACTCCCGACACATCACATGGTGGAAGAATCATTGCTTTAAGAGTATAACTGACAGTTGGGCATTTGATAGAAGTAGTTAATACATGCCAGCTGAAGAGTTCTCTGCTTTTGTAAACTACGTGAATTGTAAGCATTTCTCCAGCTTATTGTTAGATTAATACAATGGGAACTCCATGGCAAGTAACATTGTGAAGGCTGGTATTTCTCAGTGGCAGGAGAGACTCAACCTGCATGCAGGGCTCAGGTTCCAAGTTCTGTAGCTATGTTTTCCCATAACATGTATACAAGGTTCCTGACATTTAGGATGTATACAAGTGTTTTTAGCCCTTTCACATTTTTATATTCTTCCAGTCTTCACGATCGCAGCAACACAGCATTTATAGTAATGCTTTGAATCAGTTACTTGTCATTTACTCAAAATTTGTCAGCAAAATAAAAGGGTTTCTTTCTGTAGGTATTGTCTACTTCTACTGGCTTGACAAAAACCGTGTATAATCCAGCTGCTTTGAAGGCAGCTCAGAAAACGTTGCCTGTTGTTAACCCTTCCGTGCTAGATTCTAGTGAAGCACAGAAGAAAAAACAGGTAAATTAAACTACGCTTCTTTTATAAAACAACAATATTTGATGTAGAGAACTGCAACATTACAATAAGTATTTTATCCATTTCATAGAGAAAGTTATCTTCTGTTTCATAGACCCTGAATTGAGGGCTATAGCGGGGGGGGGGGGGTAAGGATTCTAATCCTCCCGAAAGGGTTCTAACATTCCTTCCCCCAAAACCTGGTGTACTCATGAATTTTAACTGGTTAACCAGTTTATGAGTAAACCAGGTTTCTTTTTTAACCTGACACATTTGAAGGCAGGGTTGAACTTTTAATGCCCCCCCCCCTAGCTACGGCCCCGCCTGCATCTAGTTTAGAAAACTATCTCCCCACCTGCAATTTGGGATATATTGATGTACATTTACACTATAAAATTAAGCTGAAACTATTTTCCTGAACAACATTTTTGAGGAATAGAGCATTTTTAGTCATTTACCATTAAAAGTTTTCTGGGTTATACCTTTATGTGGTCTAGGCTTGGAGGCTAATTGGCTATTACTTTGATAATGTGTTCTTCTGTTTTGTACATAGACTTGCAAGTCATAGGTGAAGTGTGCTTTTCCTTGGGCAATACAATGATTGTGACCTTCTAACCAGGATTGGGAGATCAGAAGTCCTTGTGTGTTCTCTCCTGTATCTTTTCCGTCTTTGGTGAAATGTTTTGTAGCACTTGTGTGTTTGCTAACTGGGATTACATCCAACTGGTAGTTTGTAACAATGGCTAGGAAATTATGTTTAAATTCTGCATGGTTAGTGAAACTTATACAGATTTGGTGTACCATGATGCATAAACATTATGAAACAACGCAGGGGACAGTTTTATGTTGGAAAGAGAAATACTACTTCTTCCTTGTGAAGGAACCTTGTTACCTTGGATGGTTGTGCTTCCTATTATGCTTCCAAATGTACTGTGCTGTGTATCTTTGAATTTGCTGTGGGTTCAGTCTGAAAATCATGAGCCCATAGATAAGGCAAGCTCAATGTGCTTCATATTTTACTGTAAGCTCCTTCTTGAATAGCTCTTGAACTTTCTGGTTTGGTCACCTTTGTCACATAAAATTGCTGTCTAGTGATAGGCAAGTGAACCTTTACTATTCTTAGTTAAATCAGTATCACAACAATTGCTGGCATAAAAGAAGAGGAACAGAACAGAATTGAAGGTCCCGTAAACCAGTATAATGCTTTCTTACAACAGTGCTAAAATATAATATTGAACCTTACACTGTAGAATGTTTTTCTGCCAGAGTGTCATGGTCTGTTTATTCTTTTTTAAAAAAAATTAACTCTGAAACGTATTTTGTAGTGTTTTCTATTGGCAGTCGCCTTTTGCCTTTTGAGGAATTCAGAGTTCTTTCAAATCAATATGTTAATAGAGTATGAATTCTTCACAAAACACATATATGGCACAAATATCTGATTCCAAAATATTAATTTAATATGTAATGCTTTATACTACACACATTGTTTTATTTGTGGTATTAGCAAATATATTGATTGACCTACTTCCAGCATTTAGTTCCCTTGACTCGGTGAATCTGGTCTAGTTGAGACTGCCAGCTGAATTGGCTTATTCTTCATACATAAAAATGGATGCTCTAAACATTTTTGTAGTTGATCATCTCTTTAATAAGCAGTGTAATTGCAAACACTTACTTTTATAGAATGTGGAAATATTCTTTGCTTTTATGCTTCCAGGAAGCACTAAGACTTCAGCAAGATGTGAGGAAGAAAAAGCAAGAGATTTTAGAAAAGCACATTGAAACACAAAAGGTAAAGTTTTTGTACTGTGATTGGATTGCTGCTGAAGAATATTTGCCATGAAATCTGCAATTGAGGACTAGTAATATTACAGTATAATTCTGTGGCCTGAAAACAATGGAGTGGAGTTTCAAGAAAGACAGAAGCAACATTTCCCTATGTTTTCAGTTCTTGTGTAAATATTCAAGCAAAGTTTTTAAACCTTGGGGTGGAGGAATAATCTCCTTTTGCTTCTCAATTGAATATTTAGAACCATTTTGTTGATGGGATAGACTAAGCAAATAAATGAGAAAATGGTAATATGGTGGCTCTGCCTCTGTGTCCTGTGGCCTTTTATCTCAGAGAACTGATGATTTTAAATTATGCTTGAAAACGAGGCTGAATTCAGTGAAATCTGGTCACAAAATAGGGTGCACTCAGTTTTTAGTGTAAATAATCCTATTATGAACAGAAATGCACTATTTGAATGCAACCTATAGAAATGATTCCAGATATACACTTAAGAAATTTGTAGTGCTCATAGTCTCTTGGCTGAACTTGTTTCCAACCTCGTACTCGTTTATTCATATTGTCTTAAGAAGTATAAACCAGCTAGAAGACCTCTCTTAGAAGAGCAAAGAAATATTAATTTATACTCTGAAGAGCAGAGTATTTATATTCTGCTCTTCAGCTTCAGTATGTTAGAGTGGTTTACAAATTGTTAATTTGACAGTTCCCTACCCTGGGTTTAAGAAATTAGTTTTCACTATAGGTCCCATAATTTTTCAGCCATTTTACTAAGCCGAGAGCTGTAGTTACTTTTAGTTACTTGCTAGTTACTTGCTAATTATTTATTTTCCAATTACTTCTTAATTATGTTTAGCTATTTCCTAATTGCTTTAATTAAATCCTATTTTAATAACATCTATGTAGTTACTTTTAAATTATTTTAATTACTTTATAATTATTTCTTTACTTTTTATTTCCAATTTCCCAATTATTTTAACTACATTTAATTATTTCTTTTATTTTTTCATTAATTTTATTTAGTTACTTTTAATTATTTCCTATTTACTTTTAATTATATTTTAATTACTTTTAATTATTTCCTGATTGCCTAATTATATTTAATTATTTCCTAATTCATAATTACATCCCAATTATTTCTCAGTTCATAATTTTGGTTATTTTAAATATTTAATTACTTTTAACATATTTCTAATTCTAGGTATTGTATGTTTTTATCATTACTATCATTTGGAATTATTTCTAATTAATTTTAATTATTTCCCAATTATTTTTAATTACTTCCCGCAAGCTCTACTAGATTTTTCCATTAATACTTTGACAACAACAAGTTTAGCAAATACTACGCAAATATTACAAAAAGCAGAAATTTGTAAGGAAGAGTTCTCAAAATCTATCTTTGAATATATTGAGTTCAATGGCAGTCCCTACAGTCTATATCATAACATAGTCAATTTATTCAAATCGGACCTCCTCTTCCCCCATTTCCTTAGTTTTACTGGACTGTGTTCTTACACAATTCAAATATTTAGCAACTTTCCTTAGTGGCTTTCTATGGGGAAGAATATATTGCAACTTGAGAGTTAGTAAATTGAATTTAACATACGATCGAATTAAGGCATTTTTGTGTACATAGATAGACTTCTCTGTAGATTGTTAATAACAAAAGAACATTTAATAGAATACCAAGTCTGCAAGCCTTGTGTTTTGTTTGTTTGTTTGTCTTTAATGCAATACAACTGTTTGGTTTGCTCCCGACACGATAAATAAATATTAACACATTTAATTTTGATAGATGCTGATTTCAAAGCTGGAAAAAAATAAGACAATGAAAACTGAGGATAAAGCTGAAATCATGAAAACTTTAGAAACGTTGACTAATAGCATCACCAAGTTAAAGGATGAGTTGAAAGGAGTTTCTTCCCCAGCAAATGCTCCATTGAAAAGCATTAAGACAAAAGTACAGGTATTCATATGTTATTTTCTTTATATTGCCCCCCCCCCCCGTTCTCTTTTTCCTTCTCTTCATAAATGTCTTTGCTCAAGACTTGCTTTTTCAGTGTTATATGTGAGGATGGGTTATTGAATTCCATGTTTTCCCCCACACAAATTAAGGAATACATTCTGAATCATTTCAATAATTCTTTAGATGCAAAAAGAGCTATTGGATACTGAATTGGATTTGTATAAGAAGATGCAAGCTGGGGAAGAAGTTACTGAACTAAGAAGAAAGTACACAGAACTGCAACTGGAAGTAAGTTTATTTCAGTTTTGACAGTCAAAATTGCAAATTGTTCACTGTGTAAACTTAATCATTGTTGAGTATATTAATTTCAAAATAAATCATGGGCCTCTATTTTTAAAGAAGTGAGATTTTGTGGATTTAAGTATTTGAAATCATTATTGTTGCTATCATGAATCTTAATTACTAAAGAAACACATCCTTGTAGAATATTTGTGTATTGTATGCATTTTTAGAATGAACCTATAGATGGCACTGTTGCTGTTTTGATGTGATAGTAGTTCTGTGTCCTTTTGTGTGTGGAAAGAATCACTGCTTTAAAAGAAGTATAGTATAGTAAGTAAATATACAGGCAGTCCCCAAGTTGCAATCATCTGACTTACATTGAAATGTTTATCCCCCTTTTGTTTGAGAACTCCTGCAAGTTAGGCAGTAGAAACACAAACAAATCTTACATAATTGGTGTACATCAAGCATAGACAGACTTTGGCCCTCCAAGTGTTTTGGGCTTCAACTCCCACAATTCCTAAAAGCCAGTAGGAGTCAAAGTCCAAAACACCTGGTGGACCGAAGTTGACCCATGCCTGGTCTACATGAATGTCAAGCATTGTTGTTTGTTAATTGCTAGGCTGCAAAACGAGGAATCCTCTCATCGGGTCGTGGAAGAGGAGTTCATGCACGTGGCCGAGGAGTGTCCCGTGGGAGAGGCCGGGGAGGAAGGGGCCGTGGTCGAGGAAGAGGGGTTCCTGTTCATGCTGTTGTGGATCACCGTCCCAGAGCACTTGAAATCTCTGCCTTTACTGAGAATGACCGTGAAGATCTCCTTCCTCACTTCGCGGTATGTACCACATTTATGGTTCTTTTATTGGTGTTGATTTTTGAGCTAATTAATTTTCTTATGCTTTCTTTTCCTTTAACTACACTACTCAAAAACTCACTCTCAATGGGTTCGCAACCTTTCAAAGCTTGTTTTGGAGCTCTTTACAGGGTTGTAGCGGTTGAGGGGTTATTGTTTCCACCTATGTCTTCCTTTTTTCCATGAGGTCTGCTGTTGGGAGTTGGCCAGTTAAACAATACTTAGGAAGAATGTTGTGAAATCAGATTTATAGTTTGAGTTTCTGGAAGAATGTTCAGGCAAATGCCAAATGTATTTTCGCCTAGATTATAAAAAAAACTACTTAAAAAAAGCAGGAGAAGATGGGTGTCGTCTTGACGACAAGGTTAGTTTTGATGGCTTTTATAACTTGTCTGTTTTCTAATAATTAAACAGTAATCATTTTTCAGAGAGATACACCTAATACCACTTTTCACATAATGGAGCTTAGTTTAGTGTCTTGCTGCTACGTGTGTTTGTCCATTGTAGAAAAATAAACTAAAAGGCCATTGTAATTCATTAAAATGTTTGATAGCTAGGTTTTCTTGCACAGATTTTATTGTCACATAATTCTCACTAAAGGCAGTTTCACATGGCGTAGTCTAAGAATTTTCTTTTCACTAAAAATTCCCAGATAAACTTCAGGTATGACTAACGATGACATTTTGAATTTTTGTTCCAAATTTTGTAAGGAAGGACTGACCTATCAGATATTTTTCTTCTTCACAAATAATTCTCACTACACATACGACTTGTTTAGCACAATTGTTTGCTTTGACAGTAATGTGACGTTCCACCATAATAATTCTTTAAGCCAAGGAAACTGATTACACTGTCTAACACAATTTTTGTTCCTGGGTTATAAATGTCATTTCCTAATTGATTCTGTCATAAAAACATGGAAGAAGTATATTAAACGCCAAAAACCTTTTTTTTTTTGTGGGACATCCTACAGCACATTTTGCTATAGTTTTTCAATGAATATCTCGTAGAGTCTCAACCAAGTCAATATAGTTTGTGGCAGCCACAAAAACAAAGTTATAACAACTACTTTCAAAGAGTGTACCGCACAATTAAATAGGAATAACATTTTCAACCCAAGAACAGAATTTTTTTCAAATTTTGTTATGTAGTGTAATCTGTAGTTTCTGTGGCCTTTTCAAAAATTGAATATTTGTTTTCCTCAGCTATTTAGAATTTGTCTAAGTTTTGTGGTATGTTTCTGTTTGCCTTATTTTTAAAACTTTGCGGAATTGTTTTGGATCCGCTACTGTCACGGTAGATTTGGAATTGTTAAATCACATTAGCAATTGAATATTTGCGTGGAGAAGAAATATTTCAACTCCTTCATTCTTTACTTCCTCTGAAAAAGCAATATGGTGAAATTGAAGACTGCCAGATAGATGATTCATCTCTCCATGCAGTGATCACTTTCAAAACAAGAGCAGAGGCTGAAGCAGTAAGTCCGTCTTTCTTTTCTTTTTTTAAAGGAAACATGCTTTTGTGTAAGAAAACAGGATAAAATTAAACAACTCTATTGAAATGCTATATCATTTTATAGTAGCAAAAAGATAGTATTTCTGATCTCTATTGACATAATGGTTTTCCTTTAGCTTAGATTATTTAAATACATTCTTTTTTTTCTTTTTCTTTTTTTGTCGTGTCAGGAGCGACTTGAGAAACTGCAAGTCGCTTCTGGTGTGAGAGCCCCCGGTGGTGCAGTGGGTTAAACCCCTGTGCCGGCAGGACTGAAGACCGACAGGTCGCAGGTTCGAATCCGGGGAGAGGCGGATGAGCTCCCTCTATCAGCTCCAGTTCCTCATACGGGGACATGAGAGAAGCCTCCCACAAGGATGATAAAAACATCAAATCATCCAGGCGTCCCCTGGGCAACGTCCTTGCAGACGGCCAATTCTCTCACAGCAGAAGCGACTAAATACATTCTGAGAGCAAAGTAAGAAAATTGGGGAGAAGTGTTCCTCACATCATTCTATCACTGTTTCTGCAGCTTGTGACGGGGAAATGGTAGGAATATCTATACTGAAGAGTGTCGTGGGTCTTAATTTTCAGCATTTATTTAGTAAAAAGGTAAAGATAAAGGTTACCCCTTGACATTAAGTCCAGTCGTGTCCGACTCCGGGGAGTGGTGCTCATCTCCATTTTTAAGCCAAAGAGCCAGTGTTGTCCATAGACACATCCGAGGTCTGGTGGGCGGCATGACTGCATGGAGCACCGTTACCTTCCTCTAGAAGTGGTATCTATTGATCTACTCGCACTTGCATGTTTTCAAACTGCTAGGTTGACAGAAGCTGGGCCTAACAGTGGGAGCTCACCCCATTCCCTGGATTCAAACTGCCAGCTTTTCAGTCAGCAAGTTCAGCAGCTCAGTGGTTTAACCCACAGCGCCACCAGGGGGCCTTTTATTTATTTAGTAGTTTGTGGGAAAGATTGGCCTCTGTCTAGTTCTTATTAACTTTAGAATAATAGACTATTCTTAGTTTTCTACCTCAATTTTTAATTGGAGAAATGTGTGGTGTATGAAAGTATCCAGAAAGTTTTGGATTATTTGTGACATTGTTGACCTGTCTGTGAATCTGATGAATTGTAGCATTTAATAGTTATTTAATAGTATTTAACTATTTTATATCTATGAAGAAAGTATTCAGCTCAGATATTAAAAATTAAACTCTCAAGTAGGTGACAGATTCCTACGAAACCAGAGTAGGAGAGTTTGAAATTGATTACATTAGCTTTTTGGATCATGTGATGTTAATATATATAAAGTAGATATTTTTAATGCTTTTGTCTTAGTGTTTAAATGTTGTTTATGCCTTATGTTTTAATGATTTTAATTTATAGTTATATGTTAGTGTTTAATTATTTTTTCTTTCCTTTCTATATGTATGCTGGCATTGAATTTTGCCATTAATATGTTGTAAACCGCCTTGAGTCCCCCGCCCCCCCGGGTTAGAAATATAATTAGTTAATTAATTAATTAATAAGCTCATGTCACATAAAATACACTTCTGTTCGCTTTTCACAGAATTCTGAAGAAGTATAAGTTTGGTATAGTAGCCGAGCATTTTTTCAAATAAAACCATAGCAAACTGATAGATTTGAAAACATCAAAAGAAGGTTCATATGCATAAATCTACACAATTAATTTCTACTTGTTAGTAAATCAAATATATTATAAATAGTAATTGGCAGTAAATATTCATCACCAAAGAAGTTACAGCTTCATAAATACTTTCTTTGAAATAATGGTAGCTAATATTTTACTGCCTTGAATAAAAAAGGTTTAAGTTTTATGGTCATGTACATTTGCGCTTGGGAGAGGAGGATTCCCTCATCATAAACCGTTGCATTTTTATGCTGCAGTAATTTCTTTCAAAGATTACAAGTTATTTCTGAACTCAAATGTCACATATTCTTAAAAATGCCAGTTTGTGACATTGTGATGAGACTATGGGCCAAAAAAACCTCTCCAGAGCTGCATTTTAATAGGCATGGAATCTTTTAAAATTTATCATAAATTTATATGTATAGATTTAAAATTTATACCTGGGGACTTTAATATCACACAATTCATGTTCAGATGTCATTGAGCATGTAATTGTTTCCACATTTCACATTATGCTGTACTTTCAGATTGTACTATAAATCTTTTGTGACTGTGGCAGTTATTTCGGAATGTTGCTAACGCTGATTTATGCTAGTTCATGTTACTTTAATTTGAACATACTATTTCCAAAGCACCCACTTAATGCATGTGGTGCCTAAGAAGACACAAATATCCCATAGGTTAACTCTTTTTCTTAACATTTCAATTACTAGATCTTTGCTGAAAAATGGAATCCTTTTCAGCAAAATATGTTACATTCACTATTTTAGTCTTATTTTTATTTTACATTGGCTCATTTTGTTTGAGGAAGTCCCTGGCTTCAGTCACACAAGAAGATTAAAAAATAGTAGTATTTCCAAAGCAAAATACCAGTGGAGAAGTTATTCAGAGGCACTTGGTTGCTTTGTATCACATTACCTTCATTTCCGTATAATTCAAGACTTAGAAAAAGCAGTTCTCTATACTGCATTGTGTACTCTTGTTATTTAGAGGCATTGCTTTGTATAAATAAACTCCAGTCTGTTGTATGCTAGTAAGCCTGCTCTGCTTTCTAGCCTGCCATAACCCCAGCAGAGAGCTTTCTTATGTCTATATTGAAAACTCCTGAAAGAAGTTTGGCATGGGCAGTGGCATTTTAAAAACTTTTTTTTTAGAAAGAAACATGTATGCTTTATTACAAATTGGTTTTGATAGGATGCTTAAACTGCTAAAGTGGCATGGTGAACTGTTCTTAAAATCGTATATGCAGAATGTGGTCCCCACAAACAGAAAGAGCTGGGATAATTCCTTAAATCTCAGCTTAGCATGAAGAGGTGTTCTTACATCTGCCCTGTAGCCCTGACGTCTGTTCTCTTTGGAATATTAATTATAGTAGAAAACATTTTCTTCCTAACAGAGTGTTCAAAGACAATGTTGTTCCTTTTAGGCTGCTATCCATGGAGCTCGATTCAAAGGGCAGGACTTGAAGTTAGCCTGGAACAAGCCAATCACTAACATGTCCACTGTAGAAACAGAAGAGCCAGAGCCAGATGAAGAAGAAGTGAGTGTGTGATTTTTAAATTATTCCATACACCAAGAAAAAGACATAGAAGACTTAAAAAAAAAAAAACCAAAGTAGATTTATTTCTGGTCTTGAATCAGTTGGTGGCTTTGCAATACTAACATAATCAGTGATCCACACCATTTTCCTTTTCTGATTGGCGGAGTTGGCTATCAGAAATTAGAAGAGGAGGGACTTGAAAATTCACTAAATGAAGTCAGTAATAACTGAATATAATTCATGGTTGATGGCAAGGAATCTATATAAATATTTCTGTCCAGCCCACCAGTTTCATTTTTGCCCTAACTGAAATGTTTGGGAAAATGTTCAAAGAAAGTATTAATTGATTGTTAATAAAGATGGGTAGTGTAATGAAGCATATAAAAAGCAATCACAATAACAATGGGCGGGCTACATGTAATGATTAAAAAAGAGACTAAAACTAATTAAAACTCGGGCGAGATAAAAAAGAGACAGATTATTTGCAGAGGAGTACTGTCATAGCCAATGCTTTTGGGAAGCTTGCATTGTCTTTTCAAAAAAATATTTTTCTGTTCAGATGTTAACCTTAAATATAGGAATACTTTAAGATTTTTTTAAAGAGTAATGCTTGTATTTCTATATTTCATTGATTTATCAGATACTGTAAATTGCGATAACATTTAAATCACACGTTTCTTTCCTTTCTACTGTTTTAGGTAGTTCAGACTTACCTCATTTTTATCCTCCCAAAAATTCTGTGAGAGTAGATCTGTCAGAGTAGAGCTGTCCAGATTGCTTTATGACTAAGCAGAGATTTCAGGTTGTGGTACCAAACTGGTGTTCACGAAAAGCAGCATGCTCACACCATTACTTTGGCATCCATTGAAAGAGATTGAAACACAGACCTTACCTTACAGATTTTTAATTACTTCCGCTATGTTGAAACCACATTCTTCCTCCTGGTCTTCTTTGATTTCACCTTTTCAAACTTTACAGTTTCTTGTAGTTTTAGCAACTCATATCCTTAAAGTCTTTTTTTTACTTAAGACATGTTTCCGGTCCTTACAGATATTGGCCTTTTTTCTGGTTTACTTAATCTGATTATAGTTACGTTCTCTTCTGTTATTACTGAACCAGCTCTCTCTTTTCTTCAATAAATTCCCATACATAATGGATTTCCAATCAAATTTCCCTCAAGCCTTTTGCATTTCTTAAATGTCAGCTTTTCCTGAGATAAAAATCCACTACTTCTTCTCACACAGACACCTAGGAGTATTGGTATTGAATATTTGTAATCACCAGGTCCTAGATGTATCAGCTTGTAGAGTAAATTATAAGTGAGAACCTACACTGCTTTCGCCATGAATCTTGTCATATATTTGCTGTTCCCGGTGTCAGGGCATTATTCTTTTATTTATGTTCTTTAGTTCTGACCTTTGTGTATGCACCTCTTGGAAGATACATACTTCATTTATGAAAATTCCTTTAAGAACTTCTCACCTGGAGTTGATTGGCTCTAGTCTTGGAGTAGAAGCATATTCTTCTTCTTTTCTTTAAATAGCATTGTTAAACTTTATTTAAATTCTTCCCTGATTATTCTTTTTATAATTATGCCTGTTTTGGTTTGATAGAAGAAAGCAAGGTCATGTGCTGACATTTTTTATTTAGGCTCTAGTCTGTCCTTTTCAAGAAATTTAGGGCATTGTGTTACTGCACTTCTCCAGCCTAATAACAGTCTATGATGCCAGCAGTTGCACTTTCCCAGACTCCCAGAGTGGTGGCAAAGGAAAACAGATAAAGTTGTTGTCTTCTGATAGGAGGGAAGGCCTTTTTCCTCTTTCTGGTAGTACATCAGTAGGTTCCATCCTCAGGATTAATAACTAGGCCCGTCTTTGAAGAACTCTAAAAGATTTTTTGGAAAAATCAAAAGCATTCATATGTTTCTGTATATTTACTGAGTTGAAGATATGGACTTTGATATGTTTTGTATGGTCTGTCAAGAGTTGCATAATAGTTTAGTGAGACATAGTTCTAATACATAGTTGCACATTTCCTATATGGTAATCCCTTCATATCCACAGTGAAAAATTTAAAAGAAATTTAAAAAAGCACACATTTTTCCCTTTTATATAAGGTTCACCGTTTTGTTATATCATTGTATTTAATGGGACTTGAGGATCCATGGATTTTGGTACCACCAGTAATAACAAGGCCTTACTGTCTGCAATTGTGCCTTGGGCATTCCCTTCCCTTCATTTGATATTCTCACATGGAGAAAGATGTAAAGAATTACTTCCATTTCAAGTGTTTCTTTATGTACTAACCTAGAATTATACTTCATGTTTACTGCAGTTTGTGCAAACATTAACCTCAATTTGAAGTTGTTTCAACAAAGCATAGTTTATTTCAGGGTTATACAGGATATGCAGAAACTGAGTTCAGCCCCATGAGAGACCAAAAATGTTGTCAATGAGATTTGGCTGTAGATTTTGGAGTGGGACTAGGATTTAAAGTAAAGCCATCATTTGAAAGTTTGAGTTGTGTGCTGGGGTGGGAGGCACAATCAGGGACTGAATTATGCAAAACCTGGAAGGCACACACATGGTCTATGTACTACACAATTCTTACCTCTGGATTAGAGACGAACCACAGTTTATTCAGACACACATATAACAGTAAACTGTAGCTGATTGAAAATGGAAGCCAGCATTGTTCATTTCTTCCTTTTATCTGAGCCAAAAGGGGAGAGAGAGGACACAATGCTTTAGCTTGATCCAATGCTAAAAAAATAGTGGCTAAATATAGGCACTGGGTGCATTTGCATATAATGCGAACCCAGGATTCCTTGTCAACCTTAGGAAAGTCTTGGGCTCATACAGTTTCCCTTTCTTATTTCACAGGAGGGAGGAAGAGAATTCTTCCTGAGTTTGAAATTTCACTTTTCCTAGTACCTGGTTTATTATTGCATACAGACCAGAGATTGTGGGTCACAACAGACTGTTCAGTCATGCCAATAACAAAACACATAGATTGTTTATCTCACCCGCTTAACATATTAGAGTTGTTTCAAGCTACATTTCCTGATTTGTAGGCAAGAATAAGCCAGAAATCTACAGGAATGGTGTGGCTACATGATGAAGAAAATGCAGAGCTTTGATTTGACTCAAAGGAGCTCCTGTTCACAACATGCCCACTTTCTCATTTAGGAATACATTCAGGTCATTGTCGTGATTTTAGACATTGGTCTTTGTTTTCTAACTAGGAAAGCAACTATGATTTGGCCAATTGAATAATAAATCCAAGCTATTAAGGTGACTTTTCACAGTTGAATTATATACTTTGCCGCATCAAAAGCTATTGACATAAATTGAATTTCAACAAAAGGTATATATCCCCTTTTGGTACCTTTACAGTGAACGAAATAAATATTGTTGATGGCTGATATATAAAACATTTTGATATACATAAATCTTGTGTTTTGCCAGTAGCTAGCAATTTATGCACAAGAATCTAAATGCCTCCACTTTTTTTTCTAAGGAGGGAGTATTCCTCCTCCAATGTCTTAACAGTATTTCCTTTGTAGTTTCAGGAAGAATCGTTGGTGGATGACTCTTTGCTTCAAGATGATGATGAAGATGACGACGACAATGAATCTCGTTCTTGGAGAAGATGATTCAACTGGTTATTAACAGTGCTAGGACTGTACCTATGTTACATTAGCATTTCCTAATGTACTTTTGCATATTTGTACTACAAAGAGTTTCAGTAAAAGTGATGGGTTTCAAATAAGACACATGAAGCTGATTGATCCTATATTTGTGTGATTGATGTTGAACTTGCATTTACATTTCAGTAAATGATTGCTTACGACATCACAGTAGGAACATATGCAATGTTTTTATTCTACAGAAACAGTACCAAATTCTTTGGGTTCTTTGTAAATTAAGGGGTTGGTCACACAACAAAACGACCACGAGTTGTTATAACAGGTTGTTTTTTGTTTTATTCCAAATACGGAATGGAAATTTGCATTTAAGATCTTTGTGAATGTTTTCAGAAATGATAGATAACAGTACTAAACGGAAGTCTCTAAAGTTATGTATTCATAATATTGCATAGTAGTATGCTTAGGCTTTACTATGTACTAGCCTTTTGTTGGATTTGTGTACGTATTTTACGTATAAGTTTTAATGATACAGTGTACAACTGCTTTGCATATATCTCCTTATCACCTTAAGATGTTTAAAAAAATAAAGTAATGGAATGGTCTTGGGAAAAAAAGAGAAAAAAAGCAATAATGAACATCATGGCCCATGACAGAGAAAAAAAAACAATTAAAAAAGAAAAAAAAAGAATTGAGACCATTCCAAGTGGTGATCCCCACCCCCCATACTCACAAAAAGAGCTGAATCACTATGGTTATTTTTCTTTCTTCATGAGCTAAAACACTACATCATAAACAAATAATTAATGCAATTGGTTTAGTTTATGTATATATTATGTGCTCAAAATACTTTAAAGCACACTAGAAATTTCAAACTGCTCCGTGTCAGAATGTGACTTTCAGAGAGAGTTTTGGCTTTCCATAACGAGATAATGTCTCATATTTTGGGAACTGAAGAGGACTTGCTCATTGTGTGGTGAAGGTTCACGTTTAAGAAATAAAGTGAAGTAAGATGACTGGTAGGTATACGCATGTTTGATTTAATGTACTATTAACCACTTAAATGTTATACACATTATACAAAGAGTTAAATAAAGCTCTCCATCACAGGAGAGTACAAGCAAGGGTCTTTTCCTCTTAATTCAGATGCAGCTGATTGATATTATGACTCCCTCCTGTGAGTGTCCTTTGGTATGACAGTCAGATGCAGAGTTCCTGTTGCAATTCCTCCTTATGTGGAACACGTTCCTGTGTCACTTGGCTGTTTCTTGATCAAAAGGGGAATGCACAATTGTTGCTCACAGCATCTGCTGTCTGGTAAAATAATATTGGCGGAATTTAATGGTCTCTAGGTTTCACCAAACTAGTGAACATATAGAGATTGTGAATAGAAGCTGATCAGGAGTACATGACTCTACATAAATGCATTTATAACTGCCTTAGTGAATTCTGGCAGTTGTTTACTTGCCATCTACAGTTTTTTATACAAAAGCAGAAGTACAAAAGCAATACATTTTGCTTTGGGGTGCTTTTTGTCCCAGCCAATCTAAGTTTGAGCCAAAAGACCCTTTCTGCTTAGTTTCTTTGGGGAAGGTATCAAAAATCCATGGTAACTTCCTAATTGTAAGTTGCACCCTTGGGATTGGGAAAAGTAGGCTGAAATTCACAACAGGTTCAGGGAATACAAGAAAACTTACCATTGAGCCTAACCTTAATAAATTCCTACTATGAACCCTCAGCTCACAGAAATTCCAAAGCTTACAGTGTGCTCCAAAGCTTTCTCCTAGAATGGGCCATTTGTGCTGTGTTTTGTTTTAAATTATGATTCAATTTAAGTTTCTTAGAATAGTTAAATTGAGAATTGATGCCTTTCCCCTCATTTCAAACTCTTTGTATAATGCGTCATGTTAAAAAATGAAAATTAAACAAAAATGTTCCCAATCAAATCCTTAGGGAGACTTCCTTTGAAATACTATATGTTTTTTCGTTTTAAGAAAAAAATGACAATAACTGTAATAAGATTCTTTTAATTGCAATGATTGGTGTTGTAAATGGTTACAAAGAAGATGSTTTGTTAATTTTTTAGATTTTAGATTGTATAAAATAAGCCCAAGTTCAAGAAAAGATTAGTCACATGGTTCCTTTTTTTATAATAATTTTTATTGATTAATCACAATTGCTACATTTGTTATACATTTGTTATTACTGTTACATTTTATACAACACACTCTCTTTAACATGTTATTTATTGTTCTGCTTAAATATTTCYCCCCCCCCCTTTTTTTATTTTCACCACAGTGCTCCCCTCCACCCGTCTCAAGCCACAATTTTTACATATCATCTGTCCAAAATCTCATTTCTTCTTGTGACGGTAACTTTYCTTCCTTDTTTTTTAAACCAWTTACMACRAATTTTYCCCAWACAGCATCAAAGTCGCTTTGTTTCYATATACCTTTTTTAACCTTTAATATACRTGTCAGCTTATCATTTATTGCTAATTTCCATGCTTCCTTATACCACTCCTCTATTTGTATATTCATTTCTTTTTTCCAATTCCTTGCTATAAGCAATCTTGCTATTGTTAATAAATTTGTTATCGCTTCTTTATCCTCCTTTTTTAATTGCTTCTTATTATATAATGATAATAAAGCTATACTAGGACTTTTATCTTTAATATTCATTATATCTTCTATTTCTCTAAATACCTTCTCCCAAAAGTTATTTACATATTTACATTGCCACCACAATGTGTATATATGTTCCTGGTTCCTGACACCCTCTCCAACAATTTATTGAGTTATTTTTATTCATATATGCCATTCTTACTGATGTCAAACACCACTTCCATATTAACTTGTAATAATTTTCTTTAACCCGTATTGATAGATTTTTTAAATGTCTTTGTCCCCATAATTGTTGCCACTCTGTTTCACTTATTTTTATCCCTAAATCTTCTTCCCAAATCTCCTTAAGGGTATTCTTTTTTATTTTTCCCTCATTCATTTCAATTAATATCTTATAAATTTTGCTAATTATACCTCTCAAGTTTTCATGTTCTTCTACAGCCCTTCCCTTCTGTATTATTTGTTCAAATTGATTAAGTTGGCTTCCATTTCTATTATTTTTTTCCCAATTTTTAAACCATTGTTCTAATTGTATACAATGGAACCATGACAATTTTGTTTCTTTAAACTCTTCCAACATCGTGAAGGTGGGAATGGGAGTCACATGGTTCTGAAGAAGCTATTAGTTAAGCAAATTAATAGCTTTGATTGTTCAGCTTTCAGTAATCGTCAAAGAAGACTAAAGTGCATGCTAGATTATTAGTGCTAGAAATCTGAAGCATAAACTTGTGCTCTTATAGATCTTACATTATATTGACTAATTTTAATCCATGTGTCCATGGCGACAATTGTTTAATATAGATGAATTGCAAATGCAGTTTGCATGGATTCATGGGGAAAGCCAGTTATGAGTCCTGCCAAAATCTGAGGACATCTTTATCACAATTCTGTGCCTCATCGGATGTAAAGAAGCAGGATGGATGGTAAAATATTACATGATGATAAATCATTAGCATTTCTGCTATGTTTTGGTTTCTGACACAATTCTAGTTGATTTTGCAAGACACTAGTTGCATTATGTTGCCAACAACTATAAATGAATGCAAGAATAGTTTTGAAATGTTTCCTTCTTTTTTTTTCAGGTAGCCCTCCAAGGAGCGGTGTATTCAGCTACAAAGATTTTCCAGTACTTTGAGTCTTCTTGAAATGTGACTTGGTCATCACATCAGCTTACCATATTTACTCTGTCCACATCATTTGGGAATTGGAAAACAATTTTGTGCTGCAAGAATACAATTGATGTTTAAATGCTTTGCCTTTAGAAAAGTAGAAATGAAGGTACCCTTCAATATTAATTAAGCATGTTGGTTTACTAAGCATGCAACTTTTCCAAAAAGTTGTTCAAATAACTGGATGGAAAGTGATAATAGGAAGGATAACCCATGATCGTATGTAGGGCAAGGAACAGGTCTAGCACAGTGTCACTTTGGTAAATGTGTAACGAGACAGAGACATAGCTAACTTGCCTCTTTTATATATTGGCATAGACTCAGTGGGTTGGAATTGTAAGATAGATTAATTTAAGGAAGGTCACAAAAGAAGTATGTCTCCCCTGCTTGCCTTTATCAAATGCTCCAATTTTCTGAGGTTTCTATTCTGAGAATAGTGTTCTGTCAGGTCCGCAATTTAATGCAAAGCTTAACATTTAAGACTTTTTTTAAAAAAATGGAATCATATCTTTTTATCTGTGACCTCTTAAGTAATAACAATCAAAGTTAGCACAAAACCTTATGCCAAACATCTTCTCTACTAATTCTGAGAGTATACTTCATTATGTGGGAGGGAGAGATAACATCAGGACTTCCTTATTAGATGAAATTTGAAATCTAGGTTCCAGTTCAAAGGTTCCAGTTTGAAATAGTTTCAGTACCTGCATTTACTTGATTTGAAAGTCACTTGGTAAGGGATCATTATATTTTGCTAGCTGCCCAGTGTTTAAAAACAACAACTATTGTGCTTTGTAATACTGTTATATTAGGGTAAACCCTAGGGTAAACTATTTCCTAAAAATAGCACTGTTAATTATTTTCTGACAATAGGCATAATTTTGATATTTTTAATATTTACATAGAGTTGACGGCATTTTACTTCTGTAATGCTGGAGCTCTGACACATACAAGTTAACTGATTGGCAAAGAGATCAGCAAAAAGGAGCTGCTTCACAAAGTGCACAGTCGATTTTATGATATTTGCCTCTGCATAGTTATTGTTAGGGTTGCTAGTTTAGGCTGGTTTAAACAGGCATTTAATATTTAACTTTATTTTTAATACAGTTAATATTTAATTTTATTTTAGTGTTTGTATGTTTTTAAATTTTATTGTATCAGTTTTACTGTAAGCCACTTTGAGTCTCTTTTTTGGAGAGAAGCAGTGGAGTATAAAGTAATATTAATAATAATGACCGGATGAGGCTTTGAGGTGGAAGTGGAGGATGGGAGCGAGGTGCTGGTTCTGTTGGCAGGGCAGCAATAGAGAGATAGGAGGAGTGGGTGAGGTAAGATGGTCAAGCTAATTAAGCATCAACTACAAACTTGCAAATAATCCCATGAAAAGGAAACCAACAAACGTAGGAAAGTGACTGTAATTAGTTATTGGCCACAGATTAATTGATTGGGAACAAATTTGGCTTTGTGACTTCCCTACAGGTTCTGTCAGGATACAGTGAAGTCTTCAATTGTGATTGAATTTCACATGAATTTGGACTTATTTACCCTTTGAATAATCTCAAGTAATAAGACATTGCTTTTATCAAAAAAAATAAATGCTTCTTTATGTGCAAACTTTTAAAATATTGTAACAAAGGTTCGTTCAGTTGGATTCTGGCTGAAATATTTAGTCAAAATAAGAGGATTGTCCTGTTTTAAAAAGAATTAAGCAGCAACAAGGGTGTCTTGTGATTCTGAGAAGAGGTAATTCTTCCTGGGGTTCAGAAATGTTTTTAGTTTTACACTTCCAGCTTTTCTCGTTGTATTTCATGGGGTTATGTAGATTATTTAAGTCTGTACTGTGACCAATACGTTTCCAGTTCTTGTCTAATTCTTGTCTATAAGCCACTTTTCACATCAGTTCATTGGCTTACAGAAAAATACAAACAATTTTAGCAATAATCATCATAGAAAGCAATTCTTTAGTTATCCCAAAACAATAGAACTCCTTAAAGGTTGGGGGGAAAACACTATTGATATTTCTTGTAATAAAAGATCAGGAAGTAATACAATAACTATAGTAATAAATAAAAGTTCAGTTTTTATTACAGTAGATAGCCAGTAAAGTTAGCTGCTGTGATCTAATTTAGTAGTTCCTAGGACATAATGAACCAAGACAGGTCCGGTTTGTCTAGAAAATGTTGTGGTTGGCAAATCAGACAAAAGTGATTAAAAAGTATTCTTTGAGTCCCTTTTGGCATCATTCTGAATTTTTTATTGAGCTTTTTTGCAGTTTCACATTTCCTGTCAGGCAGTTCTGTGTTAGGCAGCCATTTTTCAACTCACACTCATAATGTGTTTCATTTCCCCCCAAATGTTCAGATAATCAGTTGAAGAAGGAAGCTGCCATATCAATTTTCACAAAACTGATGGGGGCAGGAAGAGAAAAAGCAGTTTTAAGGCAATTGCAATATCCATGGGTCAGTTCTTGTAAGCTGTCTGAAGCATGGCATACCTAAAGACTTCATCAGATAGGTCGGGGAAAAGCAGGAACCCCCGGTGGCGCAGTGGGTTAAACCCCTGTGCCGGCAGGACTGAAGACTTGACAGGTCACAGGTTTGAATCCGGGGAGAGGTGGATGAACTCCCTCTATCAGCTCCAGCTCCTTTTGCAGGGACATGAGAGAAGCCTCCCACAAGGATGATAACAACATCAAATCATCCGGGCGTCCCCTGGGCAACGTCCTTGCAGACGGCTAATTCTCTCACACCAGAAATGACTTGCAGTTTCTCAAGTTGCTCCTGACACGACCAAAAAAAAGGGGGGGGGGAGAGAGTGAACCGTGTTACTCCGTTCCCTGCTGTCTTTCCCTGTTTTCTGGGTTGACCAGCCATCCCATGTCCTTTCTGTACCTTTCCCCGTTGTCTCCCTGCTTTCTCCAGTTTGAAGTTGGAGTAGAACCAACTCCTGCAGGTGGTCTTTGGGCTCTGTTTCCATGCATTTAGCAAAAGGTGCACCATGTAGTCCCACCAGAAGTGCCCTTACATCATGTAATGACCTCCATGGAGCTCCACACATGAAAACAGCTTGAAAACTATCTGACGAAGTCTTTAGAATTGCATACTACTCAGTATAATAAAACTACACATTGAAAGGAAGTGAGTGTAATGACCATGTAGTGAGCTCCTTGTTTTGCTTTATTTCAAGATCAATATTTAGAAAGTATCTGGCTCTGACTTCCTGCCACACTTCCCTATAATAGACAGAATGCTAGTTAAGCCAAACGTAGCAGTCATTGGAACAAAAAAAAAGATAAGAGTCAATTATCAAAGACCCAATTTGAGTAGGCCTTTGGGAGACAGAAGGGTTGAATCCCTGCTCAGTTATGGCAAGTCAGTGGGTGATCTTGGACAAATCTAACTTTCTGTGCCTCATAAGAAAGAAATGGCAAATCTGACCAATCTTGCCAAGAAAACCTTGTGATAATTTTACTTAGAGTTGTCTAAATCTGAAATGGCTTGAGGGTGCATAGTAACAGTGCTAAGACCCCCTTTTTATATTTTGTTACTCTTTAGTTGGCAGGAAATGTGAGAAGATTCAAACAGGTTTAACTGAAAATGAGAACAGTTTATATAGTGACTAGAAACAGTGCTTCCAGTTTAGATTTATATGGTGACAGTGCTGTTCCATCAGAGGTATAACCTATTGCGGAGTGAACAGTTATAAACTTAAAAAATCAAAACCTTGCAAACCCAATTTCTTCATGATTCATAGAGGGATATGGCAAATTAATCTAGTGGTGATATATTTGAATGGTGATGTTGATTCACAGGTGTATTTTGATATTAAAATGTTTCAAGGTAATTCTTTTCCTGATGGAAAAATTCAATCATTCCAATGCCCTAGTCCTGTAGTTTGGAGCCAGATTCTAGAAGAATATCACAAGGAAAATACAGGATTTTTTTTCAGAAATATCCTTCCTTTGTAGGTCTTTCTCCTTATCACAAAATCAATATTTTTAATCCAGATCTGAAAAATGAAATATTTTAAAGTTAACCAATATTATATGTGCACTTTTTCGATTGAGGGCTAGGGGGCACTCTGTCTACATGAATGGAACAAAATTCATTTCCTTTGCACTTACCAACTCATCTTCAATTAATTCCTCTTCTTGTTGGCCTAATCTAATGAGTGACTGCTTATGTAGCTAGGTGAAAATCTCTATCTACATCATTGCAAAACCTGCATGTAAAAACTTTCCACGAAAAGTTTAAAGTTCCTTTCTACTTCGCTTTGAAAGACATTCAAAAAATTGATTGTAATTCATTTTGCTAGAGGAAAGTCGTAACATTGTCAATTGCTGTTTTGCTCTCTGGAAAATCTATAGTTGGCTATGGTGTCATGATCTGGAAGGCACTGAGGGCACTCTTTATTAATTCCCAATAGGAAGGTCTATTATCTACACCGACACTGCATCATCTGTCCTTCATACATTTAGTGGCTGCAGAGAGTACATCACATAGATACAACATGGTTGGAAAGGGGAATAGCTGATTCTACAGAGAGGGAGTCTAGAGCTGTGCAATTTTCTATTCTGTTTTTCTAGGTGATATTTTGTCTTTTCTTCCTATAAGCTGCCAATTGTCATGAGTCTATCTTCATAGCTAGCCAGTCACTCCATATATCTGTTTCATTTCTCCAGTTCTTACTATAGAATTCATACTAAAAGCTTTAATACATTCTTGATGTTCGTATCAAACTTATTTTGAAATGGGAGCAATCACGTCAAATATTGTTGGGTTATGCAGATGGTCTAAAATAAAATTTAAAATGTTACCTTCCAACTTACAAGAAAAAAAGATGCTAATTAAACAGTAGTCCACAATATGGGGAAATCAGCTCTGATCCACAATAGTTTATTCCGTAATAAATTGGTGAGTTGCTGACATGTTGTAATATACGTTGTTGTTGCTTCTCCAACAGGTAAACATGGCCATTCTTCTTAGAAATTTAAAGGATGCATTAAAATTTCTGCCATGTGCTTTCGTATTTGGCACTTGGCAGTTTTTAAAGAGTTTTTGAATTAGTATTTTCTTTTAATATTTTAAAACTTTCTTCTTCAAGACCACAGTAGAAAACATTTTCCAGAGTGTTAATAATAATATAATAATAACTTAAAAACGAAGGGACTCGGGGCAGCTTACATGGGGCGAGGCCCAGCAATACGTTAAAACATAACATATTAATATGTAAAACAACAATATAAAACAAAAGAAAATCAGAACAACAGCATTATAACAAAATTAAAACAATGATCAAAACAACAACCAATAGCAAGATTGAATATCTTAAAATACTGAAAAAAATCTTTGATTGCTCCAGGAATTATACTTGGGAATAATAATAGTTTAGAGACAGCTGAGGCAAATGGTTCTCCATAATTCTCATCCCACCTTTTTTGTTCTCTTTATTTTTTCTCCCCATTTATTCAGCTTGTCATAGTTCTTACATCATTCATTTTTTAAATATGTCTGTATCTCCAGTTTTAATTTCTCCTTCTGTTGGTAACAGCTATTTGTTTTTTTCCTAGACAAGATATTAACGCTGGCTGAAATCATACTGACTAGAAGAAACAACACATCAAATTGATTTTACAGAGCATAGTAATTCTAACGCATCAACATTGTTGCTAGCTCTTCTGCTTTATGTATCAATCTCAATATTGGATAAATGAGCCAATTCTTTTTGTGCCTGTTGAATTACTCCTTTACTTCCCACTGATAGTTATAAGTAATGGTTTTATTTATAACCATCATGTTCCAAATTTTCCTCCTATAACCCAACAGGTGGTAGATGAAGTATTATTGTTTGTGCTAATAATACACATCCCACAGAACACAAGAGAAATATCTTGTTTTCTCATATATTTCCCTTAACATATCATAATAGATTCATGTATTGTTCACATTATCTTGTTATATCTTTGACACATCATACAACCCTCATTGCTTTTAACCTGTTAACATTTGCACTGAATTTGATTTAATGGACCTCTTTTTCTGTGTCACTGTTAGTGCACATTAGATATATTTTTATGATCACAAACAAAGGTGTAATTTCTTACAATACAATACAATACAATACAATACTTTATTACGGTCTCTGACCAGCACAAAGTGGGATACAAGTGCCCTGGGAAGGAAAACACAGGTCCCCAGTGAAGCAGTTATTAAAAACAGATTATAAAACAGTTCAAAATCACAGTTTAAACTAACAGGTTAATGGAACAGGTATGGAACCAAGTAGGGGAAGACTGATAGAAGGGGGGGGGGGGACTAAGAAGATGGAAGGGGCACATTACAAGTCTAAAAACATTTCAGCTGTAACGTTGCTCTAACTACATCTTCCCACTGGGATTTGTTCAGACTTCTCCATGCTTCAATGACAACAGTCTAAGTAGCCATATATTTTCCAGAAAGCAACATGGAAGATGACACAGCTAGAAGCAAAACTCAAGTAGTGGTTTCTTAGCTTTATCAGATGACAACTCTGCTGCTCTGTTGGGGTGCCTCATATTTGGAATATCCTTTCCTGTCCAATATGCCAGGTGTAATACCTGATGCGTGTTTTGTTACATATTCAGATCTTATTTGAGCAAAAAGTTGATGATTTTAATATTGAGTATGTCCAGTTTACTATGTTTTAATATACTAATTTTAATTGTTATAATGAATTCTGTACATTGTCCTGAAAATTTGATAACAATTATACACTAATGTTTATTCTTTCTATTATTTATTTTAATTTAAAATACATTAATAAAATTATTAGATTAATGTATTAATATTGAATCAATAAATAGAACAATAGTGACTGTAGATAACATTTTTTTCCAAACATGAGAAGAGCTAGAAGAGGGGCATTATTTCAAGTTAGGACAAGATTGCCCTTATTAGCATATGAAAAATCAAGGGAGAATTTAAGGGCATTTCAGTCCATTTTGATCCCATCAGGGGCAGGTGCTCTTGAACTGATTTCCCCCCTCTCTCTGCTCAATAGAATTGTCACTGGACAGTTTGTAGAGAGTTTACATATTCTGAAATATCAATGCATTGGTAGATTTATGCTGATGATACTTATGGTTATGTGTTGGGATTACTTGCCTGGTTTAAGATGCATTCCTTTCATAATGGTTTATCTTTTGTGTTGGATTACATAAACAACTTTACCTAATTGGATCTATTAAATCTGTATTGCTGGTCTTCCATCTCTAGGTGTTGCTGTCATACAGTTGCACAGCTAATAGCACTATTTTTGAAACTCCGTCCTTCTGCATATTAAGATTGATTCTGCTCTTCTGAACATGAAGGATGACTCCCAGCTGATTTTGAAGTGGGCACCCGCTCTGGCTCAGACTTGAAGAATTGCTGATATTAAATGTCTTGATATTATGAGGAGTTCAGAGGGAGAGGTGCAAGCAAGCAGTTGCAAAGGGCAATTTTCAGTTATGCTTTCTCACTGACAGAACAAGGGGATTCAGTTTTATCGAGGACAGATTTTCCCAACTGTTGTAAACCCTTGGGTATCCATAAGACTGTTCTGGCATATTTGGGAAACCATTTGGTTGTGTTTTTTAAGTGGCATGAAAGACTGAAAAGGGAAGGGAAGGAATTTTGCCATAGTTACCTGTTTCCTATGCAATAGCTCACATGCAGTTATTCATTTATGTATGTCCACCCACTACACTGGATCCCTTTGAGCTAGCATTCTCTTTGTCTTGTTTTGGCTGAAAAGAAAATGAATACACATATTTCCCCCTTTCTAAAATAAAGCTTTTTACTTTGATCTTTTGTTGATAAAGTTTTGAATTATGTTCAAATCTAAAGTTTTGTATAAAACAACATGTGTACACTCATTATTTCCATGTAAACATGTCATAGAGGAGCCAAAGGTTATTGAGTGAGACTATAATTTACAGGCAAGCTTGGTGCTGTTGTCTTACACACTGGCATCAGATTAGTTCTGATCTCTTGCTGAGAGGCATTTTTGCTTGGTTCTCCTCATTTTGAATCACCCCATTAGGTTCAGTCCGTGCTGCTAAAGTCCTTTCCATCATATCCCATTTTCAGGGGAGATGGGGTATCAGCTTTTTCTGTGCCTGTGGATTCTGGAGGCCAGGCTAGCTAATATTTGAAGAAGGCAGTTGAATGAGATACACTTGGCATGGTTTCATGGCATTCTACCTCAAGCACCCCAGAGTGACTATTTTCCCTATATAGGTTGCCAGTACAAGACTTTCTTGTCCAAAGCCAATATGTGAGGAAAGGAGAGTTTAGTGTGTCTCTGCCCTTAGTGTGCCAGGGAGACAGCACTTAATGCTTAGCTGTGACTATGACTAGGTATCCTGATTGATATTTCCTTCTGTCTTCCTACACAGACTTAATTGCAATACTAGAATCCTATAAATTGCTTCTTACAAAGTATGAGATGTTTCTTATGCTCCACTAGTTTTGAAATGGTTCCTTGCTTTAAGTCTCCAAATCCAAAAAGTTTTTAATTTTGAAAGTCCCCCCTCCCTTCCAAGTTCCATGTGTGCTCAAAAGGGAAATTTGGGATTCTTCCACAATGTGTTGTATTGCTGACCGCACATATGTAATGATTACATTGCAATGATCCTTGCTTAATTCTGTCTTAGAAATGGATTGTGTTATTTTGGTTTTTACAGAAAACTCTTAAAATTGATTTCCTATATTTTTCTAATAAATATTTTTAGTTACTTTGGTGCTGTCTTCAACTTTTTGTTATGACAGAATGTTCTCAGGATATGTTCACTCTTTTCAGGTTTTGCACAGTCTTCTCTAAAACCAAGAAGGTTGTCTGTTTTTCCTTCCATCTTCAGATTCTTCTTAGCTGGTAGCATCGAGTTTCCAAAAACTACTGGAAACCAAGATTATTCATTCATGATCTGTAAAATTGCTTTGTGGAGTACTTTTCTCAATTAGCATAAAATGGTTTATGTATTAGCAGTTTATTTTTTCTCTCTCCAGCAGCTAAACTTCTAAATTTTAATTGTACATTAGAATTTGATCTTATGAAGACCTGAAGATAAACATCTTTGAGAGTATGTACATACTTGGATAAGGACTAGATAGGCAGTCTTTAGACTTGGCTTTTATTCTGGCAATGTATTAATGATTTTGAGGGGTTTTATTTGTCTGTTTTGTAATCTGTTCAGACTTGGTGCTCTATTAGGTCCAATCTTTGAATGCCACTTTTAAAATCCCATTTTCCCAAACTGTAATAGTAGTGAATGAGATACACTTGGCATGGTTTTATGGCATTCTACCTCAAGCACCCCAGATGGTAGAGCAGTTGAAATAACTACAGACTTATAGGCTTCCTTGAGTTCGATGGGATTTATTCACAGAGAAGTGGGAGCCCTCCAATAGTGGCATGTGAATCTTAGGAAAGATGTTGAAGTATCTACTATATATACTTTTCTATAAATTGAAAAAAAATGTGCCACAGAATTGACCCCAAAATTCTGGGTCACTTATTCATAGGCATAAATCGGCCCAAAATATTGTTCTGACCTTAGGAAATGTGAGATGGCCAAAAATCATGGTGGGAAGGGTTCCAAAGGGGTTTACCTTGTGTCAGCATTTTTTTTAAACCAATAATATATTTATGCAGATCTCCACCTATGTGAGTGAGTGAGCCAGAAAGCGTGCACACACTCCTGATTGGGGAGAGGGGTGAGATCGGGCAAGAAAGATGGAGTGAGGGCACATTCCACACTTTGGATGGGAAGGTGATTGGATGAGAATGACAGGGAGAGTGTGTGCATCCACATCTCCCTCATCAGCCATCAGCCATTCTTTTGCTCATTCAGATGGGAAGATGAACAAACATGGAAGGCAGAAGGAGGGTACATGCATTCATTAGCTTAATTATGCATTTGATAACACAGTCACACTCACCTGCTCACACAGTCACACTCACTGAAGCTGACACAAGTTAAACCATTTTGGGACCCTTCCTGCCATGATCATTGATCTCCCATCTATACATACATCTGTTGGTTCTGAAAGGGATGCCTCAATTTTAGAAACCCTGCTAGCCTTTGATAATCTGCACTGAATGGAACACACACACAAATGGTGAAACACACAAAACTTGCTGGACTCACCAATCTGTCCACTTAGCTTCCCTCCAATTCCATCTGGATCCTGACATAGGTGTAAAAAATAGTCTTTTCTAAAACTCAAGACAAAAAGTGTGTTTCCTAAAAATGCTATTAACACCTAAAAGAAGCATTTCCATTGTGATATTGGTTAAACATCATGCACTTCTAAAGCACTTGAAGTGGAGTGAGTACATTTTTGGGCTCTATGTAGACAACCTCTTAGCAATCTATTGTGTCATGACTATATTCACCATTTGATCAAGATGGAGAAAACCCAGCTACAACTTCCCCTTTGATTTATATTTACAAATGGGTGTTTGTTGTCAACAAATGAATGAAATCCACTATAAAAAGTTGATCCACTTAATCGTCTGTCATGTTATCCAGATAACCTTCTTTTGAACAGAACTTTTCTTTCATTGCAGTATTTAACAAAATCCAATGCACGGTTTTGGAACAGAGATTTAGGATCGGGTTGCAAATACCCTTTCCGCTTTAATCAGGCATCATAATCATTGCGTTCTTTGATGTGCCATAAAATTGATTGGCCAATTGTTTGTATTGCTTGAACCATTTCTATTGCTGAATCTATACATGGAAAAATATATTAAGTTTAATATGAATTGCTTTATATATTGTGATGCAGTACTCTTGAGCTAACACCTTTTTTCTTTGTTCACACTATTTCCTCTTTCTCTCCCCAAGCATTCTTCCATAAAGTGAAACTTAAGGAGATGCATAACCCAATTATTAGAATTTTCATCATGTATTTTTTCCACTTCCTAATTGAGGACAAACACATCAGGTTTAATGAAGTATACCAAGAATTGGTATATATTCGAGTTGTGTCTTTCTGCTTAGGGATATGGGAGAGTGGCGTTAAAGGTTATAACCGTGGGTTCCGTTCCTCATCCCGGGGAAGTTTTAAATCATTTCTTGAGAGTTGCACCGCTCCTCCTTGTCACTTCTCCATCAGCTCTCAGTCCATTTAATCCAGGCCTCTCAGCTGTGTGGCTCCGGCTCCTGTTGTGAGTGATCGGCCTGCTTGAGTGCTCTCAGCTTCTCCTGTCACATCACATTTGCATAAAAGAGGACAGATAACCAAATTTGAGCACACAAATGAAAACGTTAAGCGCTGAACCTGTCACAGTTGTTGTTCAACTAATTGTGAAAAATTTGATTTGCTGCCTTTTCGCTGTTTATCATGCAGACCCCCTTCTCAAATTCTCCACGGCTTCATGCAACTGTACGGGTACCTTTTTAAACTGTCTGCACAAGCTGCCCACCCTGGGGATTACTTACCTCTCCTACCAGCTTTTAATGTTGCCTCATCTACTTGACTAAATTAGGCCGCCTTGGCAAACAAACACATAATTAAAAACCTGGTAAGACAACTGCCGTCATATCCCCCTAAATTGATTTTTTTTCCAGTTGTGAGCTGGGTGTGATTGCTATTTCTTCCCTCTCATTCTATGTGCCCTTGATAAAAGTGCTAGAATGTATTGCTAAAGTTACTATTTAAATCCACTGCTAATTTAAACAAACAGCCTGGCGTTTTAGATTAATATTCTGAGAAATTTTATTTCCATATAGATATAAAATATTTTAATATTTCTGGTTGCCTGTCTCAAAATATCTTTTTTTTAAGAAAAAAAACATTTTAGGTGAGGGAATTAATTTCTAACCTTTGGCTTAATGGTCTTATTGTACTGGATTCCTGACCCATGCATGTGATCAAAATAGGAAAAAACCTTGGGAAAAGGCAGAGACCCATCTGGCCACATTTGGGTGGATGGGGTGACATGCGGGAATCAGTCAAAATTGCTTTCTCCATTCCTCCAGTTCTGCATTCTAATTCTCCTTTCCAAATCTGTAAGCAAATTCCTTGCAAAATTCCTTAATTTTCTGAGGATTTCACCATGGGTGTGTCACATATGACAAGAAACAGTTGTGCAACCTTTCTGTTGACTGCGAAGAAAGAGAGAGAATCCTCCTTCCACCCAAGACTGTGTTTCTCAGAAGGTTCTAGGGATACTATTTGTGAGTGCATTAAAACGGAAGGTAAAGAACTTTTTCAGCTGGTCCTTCAGAACACACCCACACTGTCACTCCTTAGATTACGATGTTAGGGTGTCCCCACATGTCCAGGCATCCAAATCTTAAAATTTAACGGTTAAACTAGTCCTACCTACTCCATTTTGCATCCCTCTATAGTGCCAGCAGTAACAGATGCATAATATAGACATCTGTATGTGTTGCCCCTGGTTATATGAATTGTTCCTACTTGTGGCATTCCAATATTACATGTTATGTATTCTGTGTAAACGGATCTCCCCCTTACTTAGAGGGTCTATTGTGAATAAAAGCTCTGAGGTATTTTGAACTGATAGACTGTTTTATCTTATAAATAATATATATAAAGAGTTGGCAAAAACCTAACAGCAACTTATGAAGGGCAGCTATAGAAGTGTGTGTATCCCTCACCTGATTTCTTAATATGTTGTTATTTAAACAGTTGCCTTAAAAATTACTGAAAAATATGTTTCTTTAAAATTTAGGTTTTTTGTATTTAAAATTTTATATCTGAGGATCTTTGGATGACATACAATACATTCGGTTTAGTACTGTTTAAAATAGTATTGCTCTGTTGATTGTTTCAGAATCCACAGTAATTAAACTCTTCCATTGATAAGTTCATGCAAGTTTAAACTAAAAGCATATCTAACTCTTATAATCCATGTGGTTTCATCATGTGGAAAGGAAGAGAAACACAATGTTTCTGTATGTGATTTTTGTTAAAAGAGCAAGTTATAAAGAATAGTGTTTGAATAGGTATCAACTGTTTTTTCTTTGTACAATCAGCCTTCTGTACCCATGGATTCTATTTTCATGGATTCCATCATCCACAGCTTGCAAAAAATATTTAAAAATTCCCCAAATCAAACCATTTTATAAAGTGACACTGTTTTACTACACCATTGTATATAATGGGACTTGAGAAGCCACACATTTTGGTATCAACGTGTGTCTGTATGCTTGTGGAGGTGTCCTGGAACCAAACTCCACCAAGACCTCCTGTTTCTATGATATTGAACAGCTTCTATTTGGACAGACTGCTTTTGATATCTTCTATTTCTTTTTTTCAGGCTCTAATTTGGTTTTGATGTGAGATTATTGTAATTTTCACTATTGTTAACCGTACTATTATTGTATAAATCAAACAGCACTTCAGTAAGTACTAAGATAATGACTGATCTGATATTTTAACACTTAAGTATATTGCCTCAGAAGTAAAAGAATGAGATAATTTAGACAGTTTACATTGGTTTATTGTCTCATTTTAATGCTTCCCGGGCTTGTAAATAATGATCTGAGTTCACTTTTAGAGGATTCTCTGGTATTCTTTTTTCTTGCCCAGATTTTGAAATTGCTTCATGGAATGTTTGGACAAAGCTGACATAAAATATGTGCAAAGTCTAACAATCCATTTAATTTTTGAACAAATATTAGTGGGAAACTGTTTTGTGCAGTTCCCCTAGGTCTCAAATGTACAGCTTCTTTTTATCCTCCTATTAGACATCTATTGACATTTGATTAACAGCAGTCCTCTCTCCTGCTTCCATTAGTACCTCTGTGTATTGTGCAGGGATTTTTCTCATTTTCCCTTGCCTACCTGGGCAAATAACCTCTTTCCCCAATGCTTGCTCTCCCTCTGTCTATTGAAACTAGCAAGCATCTCCTATGTGCTTTGATTTGTGACGGTCATGCATCTCTTGTTGGAAATCTATTCCCCTGCAAGAAGTTGATTTTCGTCTAACTAGGGGAATTTAGGGGCAGGGCTTTCTTACCCTCTTCCTTACTCAACTCCTAGTCATAATTTCTTACTGTAACACCTTTTGTAGAAGCTTATCCCAAGAGATCAGACATGAATCGCAAACAGTAAGATTTTTCTTTTTGACTTCGGATCATTGTAGGGCCAGCCCAAGATAGTTGGGTACCTGAAGCAAAATGTACAGTCATCCATGACATCATGGGTCAATGAGAAATGAAGACCCTGTCTCCCAGGAAGATTATTCATGACCCCATGAGCGTATCCTATCACCACAAGAGCAATTGTAGAGAAGTTGCTTCTCTTCACCACTCCCAACACATGAAAAAGCAAACGTAACTGAAATTACCAATTGCCCTAGGATCATAAAGCCAAAAGATACACACTTTGGGCCTCCTTTAAAGGAGGAAGGGCTCTGGATTTGAGATTGCTAGTGTCAGATAGACAGAATATGTAACACTGTACAAGAGTGAATTAAAGTGGTTTGGGACTCTGAAGCAGTTTAAAAAACAAGGTCCCCACTTTGCACATGGGTGAGTTCTCCCTTTGGAGAGTTGGGTAGAGTCAATAGACATAGCCCTTTGGGCTGACGAAAAGTCAACAGCTCCCTTCTTGAGATCACTTCTATCTTGGCAATCCAAAGTGTCATCAGCAGCATTGGACTCTTATCTGCTGAGTGCCATGGGGCTCCACTATTGATAGCAGGCCAAAAATTTAAAACCACACCATACATGATAGTTACTTCGTTAATTTTCTCTTTGTTGTATCCTTACTCCGTAATTGTCAAATAGGAATTAATTGTAGCTATAGATTTGGGCAACGTGTCAACAAGGCTGAAAGGGAATTATAAAAAATCAGGATGGAGGTCTCCTTGATACAGAATACCTGGACAATTGTGACTATTTACCAATTTGCTTCCATTTCCCTTCCTCCCTTACATCTTTAGGGAATGGGATTTCTGGGTGGTAGTTCCCTGCTGGAGTGCTAGCGCATCAACATTTTGGCCACTGGGGATTCTGAGAGCAGTAGTCCTTTAAGGTACATTTTCCCAAGCTTTGTGAAATTCCCCCTTCGGATCTCACTATTAAGAATTTGAGATAAACCACTGTAAGCTCAAGTGCTTAAATTTGGCTACCTTAGTCCTGTTTTACTTGACCAGTGTTTTGGAAAAAAATCACATCATTGATATATTATGATGAAAATTTCAATCGTGTCCATGTTTGTATTTGCTGCTGGGATGGGAGTCATAAAATGGTAATTAGCGTTTCTACAGATCGTTGGTTAAAGTGATTTAACAAGCCCTTCCACAAAGTCATAAAAGCTTCTAGAATAATTACAGCATTTTGTTCAACGTTAAGAATAATGAGATTATACAAAACAGATGTCATTGGTCAGGCTGCTTAGACAACCGTATGGTTCCTCTAGAACTTGTTGAAAAATGCAAATCATCAGATCACTATTACATAATGTCTCATAGTATATGTATAACAGAATAACAGACATGAAAATAACTTAAAATGCAAAAGGGGAATATGCTACCTTGATTCTTGAGGCTCCCAAACTGAAAAGAATATATAATAAATAGTAATTTTCCCCATTGTTCTTGCCAACTAGATGCCATGCCTGCAATAGTGTTATAAAAGTTGATTTCTCCCTCCGTATATGGTTGATCAAAAGGAAAGTAAGAGGAGAAAGAAGGAGTGGAGAAATGTCTGGATCATGGGAAAATTGATTTACATCAAGGGATTCTGAAGGGTTATGACTGACTTTAGCCTTCCCCAATTCGGCATTTTTCAAACATGGTAGACTGCAACCCAATCATCCACAGGTAGTGTGTCCATGGTTGGGAATAATGGGGGTTATAGTTTGATGTGACTGGAAAATATCATGTTGGAGAAAAAAACAAGCCCGTTAAATCAAATTTAAAGCTGTGATCTAACTACTATACATTTAGACAAGTGCTCCAACATGTGGTTTTAAGATTAATTTTTGTCTAATCCTTAAGACTCAATCTAATTTAGTTACATCTATCAGGAAAGGGCCAGATAATTCATTGGTGGTCCATTGAGTGGATGTATTTATTTACTATATCTATATACCGCTTTTCTCACCACAGGGGGGGATTCAAAACGATATACATCAAATAATGGCAAAATTCAATGGCAGCATACATTCAATCAAAGCATATAACTAAAACAATGACATATAACTATAAATTAAAACAATTAAACATAAATATAAGTAACATTTAGACAATTTAAAACAGAGCATTAAAACATCTTAATATTAACATTTAAAATCATGTGATCCAAAATCATAGTCTGAAGCCATTCTGGTTGTCAAATTGCACTTATTTCTTATTCATTCCTTGTGCTGCATTACTTACTGCCCGAAGGCTTGGTCCCATAGCAATGTCTTTACGTTCTTCCTGAAGGCCAGGAGGGAAGGGGCCAATCTAATTTCACTGAAGAGGGAATTCCAGAGCCAAGAGGCCACCACTGAAAAGGCCCTGTTTCTCGTCCCCACTAACCGCACCTGTGAAGGAGGTGGGATCGAGAGCAGAACCTCTCCAGAAGATCTTAAATGGTTCATAGAAGGAGATGCGTTGGGACAGGTCAGCTAGATCAGCTTTATATGAGCCTAGAAATTTGATTTTGCCCAAGTATGGGTATTGGGAAACCCTAAATATATTGGTGGGATTTCAGCTCCTAGCAGCCATCCCCATAATAGCCTATGATGAAGAAGGCTGGGAGTTGCAGCTCATACAGTTCTAACCTTTGATTTAGGCCTTGGTTGCAGTAATTAAGAGAAATAATCAGGCATTATTTCACAAAATAAAAATAGGTGTATCCATTGTAGATCCAAAACCTTTGTGCTTTGGCTCCTTGTTGGCTTCAGTTTGCTTAGCCTTAAGACTTTCTTTAAAGGCTAGCCGGTTTCAGTGGAGATGGCATGTGAATAGGGATAAAGAGACCAATTAACCAATTTTTCTTGTCTGTTCCCTCATACCCAGACACGTTTGGTACAATCCCCAGTTTTGATGTATTATTTTAATTAATCCAAGTCTCTTTGATTTCTGGGGGGAGAAGAAGCAGGTTAGCAAATGTAACAATGCTCGAGAGTTTCTTTATCGTAAAAGACACATAATTTCAACCATTTAATAAGGTAGATTTATTCTGGGTAGTTTAGTTTGCCCATGCACTCAAACAGCCCTCCCCAAAGACAACATTAAAAATGTGATTAGTTAGCTGCCATCAATAACACAAAATAGAAAAACACTCTCTGAAGGGACAGCTTTGTGGAGGGCACTGCACAGTGTGTAGTAAAAATATATGGCCTAATAAGTTTACATTTGCAGGCTCATTTGTTAAAACTCTTGAATTTCTAATTTGTGTCGGCAAGATAAATGGATGGCGCCTCAGTAAAGTGTGAGATTAATACTGATAGATGGGGATTCAGTTTTTTGCTAGGCTCTTACTTCCTCCAGCCCAGTAGGCTCTTTATGGGAGGAAACTAAAGGTAAATAAAAGGGACGGGCATTATTTACATTGGTCAAGACCAATTACCTGGGATATTGTTCTTTGCAATTTTATAGTATTGATGTAGATTACCTCTATCTAATTATTGTTTTGCATCAAAGCTTCGGGGAGTATAAGTCATATTTTTAAAAGACTAGCAACGATCAGCTGTTGGGCAGTTTTCTTTTTCAGGGAAATATGGAACCCTCTGCATGATATTTTGGGGGGAAGGATGGAAAGCAGTACAAGGAAAAAAAAGCATTTTTAAATATTGCAGTTGGTCGTTCACTTATAACTGACTTTCCGTTTTCAGCATTAGGTAGAACCACCTTTTAATTATTTTTTAAAGAAATCTTGTAAGTCTTAGTAGCCCATCCTTTCTGTAATGGGATTGCAGACATTGAAATTTCCCTTATTTCCCGGAGACCAACATAGCAACATAGACAAAGTTGCAATTTAGATCCTTCTTGGATTGTTTGTTATTACATCTACCAGAATAAGAATTCTGCTATTCTTAGACAACATTAGGGCCCACGGTGCTGCAGTGGATTAAACCGCTAAGCTGCAGAACTTGCTGACTGGAAGGTTGGTGGTTCGAATCCATGGGATGGGGGTGAGCTCCTGTTGTTAGCCTCAGCTTCTCCCAACCTAGCAGTTCAAAAACATGCAAATGTGAGTGGATCAACTGGTACCACTTCGGTGGGAAGGTAACACCGCTCCATGCAGTCATGCTGGCCACATGACCTTGGAAGTGTCTACGGACAACACCGGCTCTTCAGCTTAGAAATGGAAATGAGCACTAAACCCCAGAGTTGGAAACTTTTACCTTTACCTTAGACAACATTGGAGTAAGTCTCATATACTTCTCGTCCTGCTGAAGTTTGAGTTGTACTCACATTCACTTATCATCTGAGAGCAAAAAGAAAAATACATGGGACACATTACATACAAGCATGCAACATGGCACCACAAATTTGAATTAATGTGCCATGCTTAACTCTCCCCTGCAAATCTTATTCCAAGCCTGCATCCCCAAGACATGGCAGCTGAAAAGGAGGATCAGAGGAGCTTCTCCTTTTATCTTCCATATAGAAAGAGTAAATCTTGAAATAAGCAGCTTGGGTAAAAAGTTTAAAACCCCACCTGACTCCATATGTGGTGGTTTCTGTCCAGGTTAGGGCTGTGCATATATTGTTTCTTATTAAAAAATAATGAAGAAGAGTACTTTTAAACTGCCAGTTGTGTATTTGTGGTTATAGTAATTCACTGAAGAAAGCGAAATCAATAAATCAAAATTAAATATAATAATAGAATGCTAGAGTTGGAAGGGGACTTATAGACCACCAACTCCAACATCCAGATCATTACAGGAACATCAGCTAGCCTCCTTAGCAGGTAGTTATCTAGACTATTTTTGAAGGAGAGGAGACCCACAGCCACCTTTCTAGGCAATCGGTTCCATTGCCAAACCACTCTCATGGGTAAGAAGTCTTTTCTAATTTAAATCTATCCCCCTGTATCTTAGCATTAGAGAACAGGCCTAGAAAATTAGGTAGGAATTAGTAAAATGAAATGTATATTGTTTGTTTTGTTTTTTTGTGTGTGTTTGGGGGGATCTCTTTATTCAAGGGTAGATGTCAAAACTATTTGTATTTATATTACATGTAATGTTAACGATAATGCAATATAATGGTATAATACAATACAGTAATATATAATACTGATATTTTGCTATGCTAACAATATAATATATTGTATGTATGCAGAATATATCTTGTAAGCTGCTCTGAGTCCCCTTCGTGGTGAGAAGGGTGGCATATAGATGGCATAAATAAATAAATAAATAAATAAATAATAAATATCAGGAAGGTGAACTGAGATCTCATCTGTCTTTTGCTCTCCAAAAGTAGTTAATTTGCCATTATTCTTACACAGAGCATTAATGTTAAGTGTGTTTATGTTAGCCATATTTTCCTTTGAAACTACAGTCCAAATAGACCAGTGTTGCTGGGAGTTTTTTAAACAGGGATTATTAGAATATATATGTAAATTGAAGGGTTGGAATCTTCTATTGTTGATTATTTAAATTGATCAAGACCAAATTCATCTCACTTGTATGAATAAATTTTTCTTTGTCCTCCTTAAAACTGTTTATATATATATATATATATATATATATATATATATATATATATCTCTAGATTTTTTTATCTATTGAACGCAACATAGTGTCTCTCCACAAGTGATAACCAAAGAGCACGTTCTTCATCAGGGGAAAATGATCCAAAGGAGAACATTTGACAGACCAGATACAGAACAATTTGGCCTGAGACATTGGCCCCTAGATCATGTTTAAGGGAGGAAAGAATATTTTATTCCCAGTGGGGGAAAAAAACTGTGATAGATAAGAATTTTTGTAGTTTGGAATTTATTCTGTGTGAAAATGTGGAAGTGTTCTAGGGTATTGGGTTGCACAGAAAGTATTCCCCTATGCAGGAAACAATATTTCTGTGTAGAAAAGACTGTTTTATGTTTATTTTTCACAGAATAAACCCTAACTTGCAAATAGTCCTCAAATTGTGTCGATTTCTTAGGCATTCTCACAACACAGAGATAAAAAATGTTTGTTCTTATCCACAAAAACAGCATTTGAAAAAGTTTGCATCCTTACTGCTCATCTACCAAGAACTCAAGGAAGGAAGAGCTATCTATTCCCAATAAGGTTTATATGAGACTCCGCTTTAGATTCTCCTGTTCTTCTCTAATCTTCATCCTCCAATTTTCCTTTCATTGCCTTGTGTGTATCTGCTCCTTTCTATTGTAATCTGTATACGGAATGGCAGTTATCTGATTTATATCCAGCACACCTAGTTAATGTAGGTGCTTTAGGTACAATAACTTTCCATGTGTTACTGCTTTCTTTGCCTAAAGCTATTAATGGTCCACAGAGTGCTGAACTTGGACCATTGACTTATAGGCTCAAATTCAACTCCATCATTTACCTTCTCTATACAGGAATGTCCACACTCTTGACCTCAGTCCCTGCACCTATGAAAAATGGAAACAATTATAATGCAAAAGGTAGATAGTGAATGCCCTGTGATAAGGAGCAACTGGCAAAAAGCATGCAAGATCTACACACACAAGCTATTTGAGATGGTAGGTTCTTGTGGTAAGAATGGAAACCTATCCTGGTCCCATGAAACTTATGTACTGTCTCAAAAATTGTATAAATTCCTTATCAATTCCAAATATCAACCAGAATTATGTGAAGATATTACACTAGTGCCAAAATGAATGCTCAGTTGGTTGTATTCTTTGAAGTATCCATTCAATAACTAGAACTGCCTTATGAAAAGTTTGCCCCTGAAGAAAAGATCCATTTCTGTTGCTTGAGGTTGTTGCTGTATTCTACCCGATGGTAGGTTGGCCCTGAAGCAAAGACACGATGCCATGCATAGAGAACATGGTTGCATGTGTACATCCTTTTCTTTGTGCAGTGTTATTCCAGTTTACTGCAACACTTGATCTAGTTGTATTCTTTCATCTATGGGAAACACTGGAACAGGAAGAGTATCTCTGATAATGGTCCTAGAATAAATTAAAAAATATTCACAGAAGGAAAACTCCCAGAGCTATTGGCATCCTTGAAAATGTTTCTTTGGGGAATTGAGGGAATGCTCTGAACAATAAGGAATGGGATGCAACTGCAAGAGGGGACAGAAGACCCACTCAAGTTAACTTCTAGTCTGATTTGAGTGATTCCCCTTCTTTTCCCAGCAATTCAATTCACTGGAGGTACTTGAGATAGGACATAGAGAGCTGTAGTGGGAAAAGAGAGCATGGAATCTGCCTTCTGTGGATGCCCTTATGCTACCTTACCAAGTCATTGTAATTCAGGAGATTCTCCCACAGAAACTGTCTTTGTCAATGGCCTATGTATGTGAACATGAAGCATACAGACACCATGTGGATTTCCCATATTAAAAATAACTAGACATAAATTGTTCAGGAGAAGCGCATCAGACATGGATAGTACCTAAAAATAAGGATGTTGTATTTATATAAAAAAGAACACCATCTAAACTAGCAACAGGAGTGTGACTTCTCATGAATGAACAAACTACATTAATTTCCATTTTAAACTTTACATTTGGAGGCTCAGTAGGGATCAAATGCATTCTTTAGTTTGACTTAAAGACTTAGTACCAATGAATCTTTTATTCGAGAGATAATGGTTACTAATTAAAGAGTTTTATTTTAAGCCTCCTCCAAAAATACTTCACTTTATCATCTCAAGAAACAATTACTTCCAGTAAGCATGTACTTCAGCAGTTTAGTACAAAGGGAAGGTTGTTCTCTAATGCACTCCTAAACTTTTGAGAAGGTATAAATGTTTGGCAATTAGTTTAAGCCCATCCATATTTCAAAATAGCATGTGAGCAAACTCAAGGCACATGGAATTTAGTTAAAGTTTTGGGAAACAACTAAAGGATGCAGCTGTAATTGTATTTTCCATTTTATTTTAAAAGGCAGATGCAATTGTGGAAGCTCTCAATTTATATTGTAGTGTAGGAAGGGATCCCAAAATCACCCACTTTCCTTGTAATTTGAATACATTTATTAGGGTCCTTCCCTTTAAAAGACTAGAAAATAAGTTTGCTCTAACTGTTATATTAGTTTTAGTTGGCTGCCTTCACATCAATTTCGACTTATGGGGATCCTATAAATGAGACCTACAAGTCATCCTGTCGTCAACAGCACCACTCAGATATTGCGGACTCAGCACCATGGCTTTCCTTGGTTGAGTCTATCCATTAGGAAAATGCAAATCAATCTCTCAATTGAATTCAAACACTATTTTATCTAAGGTAATGTTGCAAACCTCTTCATATCTAGTAAATAATTGTATCTAATGGGTTCAGTGAGGCTCATTCTTAATAAAAAAAAAGTACAGGTTTGCAGTTCAATTGAATTATCAACTTCAGTTCTCTATCTGAATTCCAGTATTTGAAATCATCAGACATATGAAAAAGATATTATCTCTGATGGAACAAAGTTTACTAGTCAACTGTGTTTAGGGAGAAAGAGAAAGGTGTGGCTTTCTCCCATAGGAGACATGACTAAGAGGAGGATGGGACAGATGAACAAAGCTCAAGAGTATCAATCGATTGGTGGTGAAGTGACAACTTAGGCAATCCCTTGTTGTCTGAGTAAGATTGTTCTCCAGGTGTATGTGGTGGGTACGTAGGTGACTGTGGAGCCCTATTCTTGACCTGCAAGTTCTCCTGCAGTGAGGGCATTGGTTTTCAGTTGGAAGGCAGTCCCGGTCGGGGTTGGCTTGATGCGCCTTCCTCTTGGCCCGTTTCTTTCACCCTCCATTCATGCCTCTTCAAATTCTACAGCACTACTAGTCACAGCTGACCTCCAGCTAGAGCACTCAAGGCCCAGGGCTCTCCAATTCTCGGTGTCTATGCCACAGTTTTTAAGGTTGGCTTTGAGCCCATCTTTAAATTTATTTTCCTGTCCTCTAACATTCTGTTTTCCATTCTTGAGTTCGGAGTAGAGTAACTGCTTTGGGAGATGGTGATCGGGCATTTGGACAACGTGGCCGGTCCAGCGGACTTGATGGCGGAGGACCATTGCTTCAGTGCTGGTGATCTTTGCTTCTTCCAACATGCTGACATTTGTCTGCCTGTCTTCCTAAGAGATTTGCAGGATTTTTGAGAGGCAACGCTGATGAGATCATTCCAGGAGTTGCATGTGACATCTGTAGATAGTCCACGTTTCTCAGGCATATATCAGGGTTGGGAGGACAATAGCCTTATGATATTGGATTGTGGTTTGGACGATGAGACGACGCTGAATGGTTTTCGTAGTAATGACGATGTTTTTGTATAATTGCTGGATTGTGAATTGTTTTTATACTGTGTCTTGAATTTTGTTGCTCCTATGTTGTACACCGCTGTGAGTCGCCCCCGGGCTGAGAACAGCGGTATATAAGCAAAGTAAATAAAATAAAATAAATAAATAAATAAGCACCTTGGTATCCCTCAAACACTCTGCTTCATTTGGAAAAATGCGGCATTCATAGAGCTCAGGCGGTGTTGTATTTCATTGTCAATGTTGACTTTTTGTGGAGAAGTGGCTGCCAAGGTAGTGGAAATGGTCAACATTTTTTAATGTTACACCATTAAGCTGTATTTCTGGCATTGCAGACAGATTGGCTGGTGCCTGCTGGAAGAGTACTTTGGTTTTCTTGATGTTCAATGACAGACTGAGCTTCTCATATGCAAAGTTGTTTAGAGTGGCTTGTAGGTCTTCTTCTGAATGTACACAGATGGCATTGTCATCAGCATATTGGAGTTCTATAACAGATGTTGTTGCAACCTTGGTTTTAGCTTTCAGTCTGCTGAGGTTAAATAGTTTGTCATCTGTCTGATAGATGATTTCCACTCCAGTGGGAAGCTTCCCATCAACAGGATGAAGTATCATAGCGATGAAGATGGAAAATAAGGTTGAGGCAATAACACATCCCTGTTTGACACCTGATTCCACCTTAAATGGGTCACTTGGAGAGCCATTGCTGTCCAAGACTGTTGCCATCATGTCATCATGGAGGAGCCGCAGGATGTTCACAAATTTGTCAGGGCACCCGATTTTTTGGAGGATGGCCCAAAGAACACTTTGATTCACTATGTTGAATACCTTTGCAAGGTCAATGAATGCCGTGTACAGAGGTTGATTTTGTTCCCTGTATTTTTCTTGAAGCTGCCGTGCAATAATGGTGAAGCAACAGAACAGACAAGCCAAAGAAAGAACAGTCAGTTGTCCTCTGCAGGCACACAATTACTTGAGCAAGCATATTGTCCATGTTTTCAATGCCATGTCCACAAAAGTAATCTCTCATACATCTTCTTGATGATCTCTGAGGAACAGCTTCATGAAAACATCCACAAACATGTCCTTCATCCAGCAACACTTCATCTATTAAAGTGGTGTTTCACCGTTGATATGTTCCTGATGGCAATCCCATGACTGGTCATTTCTCTCACACACATAGAAACTGTTTCTTCTTTTGCAGCAATTCTTTCCTTTTCCTTTCACTTGCATTCATCTTTGCTATATTGTCCCAGATAGATGGTTCTGATGTCTCTTTCTGTGTGGAATTGTCTGTGTGGAATTCCTGTGTCTGACCAGGTTCATCATTCATATCTCTGCCCCAGAGTGTGGCAGAGGCTCCTTCTTTTGAGGCTTTTAAGCAGAGGCTGTCAGGGGTGCTTTGAATGTGATTTTCCTGCTTCTTGGCAGAGGATTGGACCAGATGCCCCACAAGGTCCCCTCCAGCTCTAGGATTCTATGTGTCTATGATCTATCTATGCACCCCAATTTATGTTAGGTGCATAGTACTGCCATTCTTCAGACTCACAACCACAGTAAGTAGGCAATGTTTCTTGTCTGACCACTTTCATCAATATATATTGCTCTTTGTATGTTGACAGTACTCATCTTATTCTTTACAATTCTGTAGTTTTAGCACATCTTGATATTTCCCACCAGTACTTCTTTAACTTGTGATATTGTTTGGGTATCATTGTCTTTGGGATATAGACATTTTGTAATGGAGCATTCTGAGGTATCCCATATTTAAAATTGAAAAAAATGGGTTCCCTTGGTTGAATGTTGGAGTCTATTCTTGTGTAATAAAGAAAATGGAACATTTACTGTGCAAGGACTTGAAATCTACTTGTCTGTAGTAAAGACACAAGGACTATTTCCACACACGTGAAGATTTTTTTTCATCTTTCAAGAAAACAAATTATTTATTTTAAATGTGAATGTAACAATCCTTTGTTTTGTTGACATTTGTATTTGTGTGCATACATTGAGTGTCTATGTGTTTAGATACATTTGCATTTCTGCAATTAGTGGATTTTGGTCTCTTTAGTTTCCCATATTTAGCCTCAGTTCATAAGCATAGCATTTTGCCTTGGTTGGCAATTAGCGGTGCAAGTTGTACTTGTTTTTATTGTCTGTCCTCAATACAA